CTAATATAGACGCACAATAGCTATAAAAAGGACTTCAGGTGCTAACCTTTTTAACTTCTAAGACTATTTTTTTATTTCCTCAACATAATTTAACCTCCCGTTTTTATGTGCGAGCAGTGCGTATGTTAGTATTTGTCGCATCCAAAACGCCGCCATTCGTTTGTGAAAATGAAATTAAAAGTATAATCTTTTAGTTTCAACCTAGTGGACACAGAAGTTGACTTTTTACTGCGAAGGAAAGTACACTGTGAATAAGTATATGTATTATTAACAAATTATTCAAGCGCCCGATGTCTGTTGTCCATTTACTGAAAAGAAATATTTTATTAGATATGGAGTAACATAAAACTTTTGTAATAAACTAATAAAAAGTTGCCTATTAAAAGTTTAAGGTATTGTGCTAGTAGTGTTAGAACACAATGAAGCAAAATACTTCAATTAAACCGTGTTTTCTTATGTTTTTCTAACCTTTTTTTAGTTGCGTCGCCATTGCATTACTATCAACAACAAAGTAAACGAATGAGGGGTACAGAAGTGGTATTAAGCTCTATTACTCTACCTAAAGTTATACAGAAGTCACAATAACCACTAGAAGTTCTATCATAGCGAAGAATGTTTCTGCTGTTCGACTTTTAGTAACTTAAGAGCATTTTGTACCTCTTTAGGCATTTGGTGGTACAAAAGAATTTATGAGCACCATTGTGGAACTGGTAGTGGTAATTATTGCTTTTGTGCAACTTTTGGTTCTTGGCGAGAGTTTATTATCGCTTGCATAGCACTTTGGGGGGTTGTAGTCAATGCTCACTTCTTATTTAGATCTTATAGTTGTAAGATTCACTTAAAGCTATAACACAAGATGCTTTGCCCATATTGTAGAGTTAAAAAATGCTGCTGTATGTCTTTAACCTTTAAACTCACCCTGTTACCACCCTTGTAATTCTGTGGTATAGCTCTACGTGAAATATTTTGCTTGTTTACGCTCTTATGTCGCCAAAAGTTGTAAGTGCTGCTGTTGTAGCGCCTTTATATCTCGGTCAGTTCTAAAACAAGCTCTAATTGACGCCTAAATGTTTATTGGGAATGACCTTAATAATTATTCCCCGTTTAAAATGCCGCAATCAATACGCTGGTAGTATACACGAACTTTCTCATGACTTCACGAGAAGTAAGTAAAGAAATAAGCAAATTTAATCAAATAACTAATTTCATATAAATTGCAGACGATCATTTATGACTGTAGTGTCATTAATAATGCAGACTTATTAAGTATTTTCAGTTAAACATTGCCATATTAATTATAAAATCTAGATTCCGGGCAATTACTACTATAATTTATTTATTTTATAATACTGTTTACGAAAAAGTTTAGGCTGCTGATAGACAAACGGACGGTGGACGCTTAGTAGGTAATCTTTTGTCATCTTTTGGCTATAGATCCCTAAATATGGTTTTATTTACCTTGAATGATGCTCATTAGATGCTTAAAAACGTTATTAATGAAGTTTCTTATTTACTACTATGCAAAATGTTTGTTATGTTCATAAGATGTACGATAGCGAAAGGTATTGACCTCCGCCTCTTGATTATAATAAATATAATGACGACGACAGGGTCAGTAGTTTCATATGTTTTTTATAAGTGGCATACATAATACTTCATTTTCCGAATTCCTTGCGTCATTATTATCTGTTCGTAGATAGTGTCAGACAACAAACAAGTCCTAAATAAAAACGTAAGTAAAATAATACGCAATTCGGTCGAATTGATACAATTACTCATATTTAATATGATTGAAAGTACAGTTCATACCATAAACTTATTATATTCTTGAATAAGTAAATTTTGATGAGTTAATGTGATGAGAAAAATAAAGTTGAAATACCGTATGAATGTTCGTTCGGGGAACATAATGATCAAAAAAGTATTCCAGTGAATTAAGATTCTAAGCATTATTGTATGTTTAGATGATCTATTACTAGCAAACCCCACGCTATAGTATTTTTTTCCTGAAAAATGATTTTAAATGGTAAAAACCACGCCCAAGCATTGGCGTAGCTACAGATTTTTCCTAACTTACCATTAATTTTACCATTTAACATTTCATCTTAACTAACATTAATTCTGAAATTAATTCATAAACTGTCAAGATATGTAAATCTAAAGAAAAGTATACTAGAAAAAAATCCACTAGGACCAGGCAGCAGACGGGTTTTGAACCCGCACCCTTCGCTATCCGGGCGAATGCACTGACCGCGGCCCTTACGGCCGTGTCGAATTTTCTCCAGGCTTAGTGCACGGCAGCGCCATCTCTTCGCATTGTAGGTAGCCCACAATGCGCGGATAGAGAAGGGTGCCTTCGAGTCCCGTCTGCTGCCTGGTCTGCGTGGATTTTTTTCTAGTATACATGTCTTTAGATTTAAACAGCTAGCAGTTAAATCCATAAAAAATAAAAAAAACTGTCAAGATATGTTTAAACGTTGTAATTTCAGGATGGGAATAAGAATGGTTTATAGGTTAGGCATAGGCGTTGTGGGCCATGGCCCAATAGGGGCCGCCACTCTTTCATTGCCCCATCTTGCCTCCTCTAAATCTGACCCTGCCTGTACCCTAGCAGTGGGCACATTAATAGGCTGGTGATGATGATTTAAATAGGTCTTTACCTATGAAATTGCTGTTCTGCCGTACTGGCTATTTCAAGTCCATTTATTTCTTTTTTCGCTAAGAATACTAAGTTCAAAATATTTTTATTTTTAAAATGTGGAATCTTTTTTTGAAAAATAGTATTTTAATAAAACAAAATTTAACGGGTTAAATGCGTTAATTTATTTCTTTGTTTTGTGTCGTCAGAATTATGATGCAGCCTGAAAAGGAGGAGTTGTATGCGTGAAAACCTAAGAAACAAATTAGTCATTTGTTTTATGTTTAGCTTTCTGTTTTCGCATTTGTACGTTTTTCGTCATTATGTATACGTTAATTTCTGTGTTTATGGAATATGAGTTCCGTCGTGCTTGCAAAGCGGCAGAAGCGGCACGCAACATCAATGATGTATACGGAGCTAACACTATTAATGATCACACCACCCGTTAGTGGTTTGCCCGCTTCCGTTCTGGAAATTTCGACCCACGAAATGAACCCGTGGTCGACCGAAAACTTAAGCCGACAATGACGAATTAAAGGCGATTGTGGAAGCTGATAATTTTCAATCTACAGCTGAATTCGCAGCGCTTTCGAGGTTAACATCTAAATAATATTAGTCCATCTGCGTCAAATTGGCAATGTAAAAAAGCTTGACAAATGAGTGCCCCACGAATTGAATGATCGCAAGCGCGAAATACGCGTCGAGTAGAGCCTTGCACTGTCCAATAGGCACACAAACAAAGCACAACAAATATGCTTTGTAACTTACGAAGAAAAATGGATTTTGTTCGACAATCGCAAGCGCTGAGCAATAGTTAGTTAGATCCTGGCTCAGCACCTAAACAATGCTCCAAACCAAAACTGACCCTTAAAAAGTGATGGCCACTGTTTGGTGGTCTAGCGCTGGTGGCTTTCATTTCAGCTTCTTACTAAACGGGATGAGCATTACTGCAGATGTGTACTGTGAAAAACAGCACACAATGATGGAGAAGATCGCACATATCCAACCAGCTTTGGTCAATCGTTCGGCTCCGCTGCTCGTGCACGACAACGCGCGACCTCATATTGCACAGCAGACGGTCTCCAAGATACAAGAGCTGGGGTTGGAAATCTCCGTTATCCACCGTACTTACCAGATCTTGCCCCTACGGACATTTATTTTTTCTAAAATTTGGATAACTTCTAAACGGGGAAAATTTAATAACCGAGAGGCAGTTCAAAATGCCTTTGAAGAATTTGTTACCTTCCAGTCCAGCAGACTTTTTCAAAATGGGCATAAATAAGCTACCACTAGGGAAGACCTATATAAAAATTAGCGAGATGGCAAAAACGCACTTTTGTACCTTTAGATACTTGCTACTTCACTCAGTACCCGCCGGCGACGCAACAGAAGCGGTTGCGTAATTACGACGTCTACGAACAAAAAACGCTAAAAGTAAATTTATCTTCAAAATTTTGATTGAATTTTTATCATGTCTTAATACACGTGCGTTGCTGTATTATTTTTTCGCAAGTTGTATGGTTATTTAAGTCGCAAAATGTTGCACTGATCTTTTGTGTTTTCATCGTGTTTAGAAAATACGAATTATTATTCGGACAAAGTCGTGATTTTGAGCACCTTGGAGAGTTGTGACAGCCTGTCACAACTCTCCTAAATGCACAATAACTAATGTGGAGTGGGTGCAATGTCTAGAAAGGAAAGGCTGGTCACACGCAGATTATACTGGAGGCGAGCTGCAATACGTTTCTCAAAATTTCCTATGAGATTTCATCCGATTTTTGACTGAATATAGTCTTGAAAATCTCAAAGCCATGCCTCAATCACTTAAAAGATATAACATCTATTTATGGCAATGCCATTTCATATGGTAAAATATGATTACATTAATTATGATAAGAAAAGAAAAATATGTTTCATTATTTTTAATATGCGTTGGTGATTTTTAATACTCAAATAGTCTAAATATAAAGCTGTCACAACTTACTTGGTACCTGTCACAACTTACCTCGGTGATGAGTTGTGAGTTGTGACAGTTGGAGTAGTTTTACTTTTTGTTGATTTTCTTAAAAACCGTAACACTTTAATTAATTTTGATAACTGATTTGAAAAAGGAAGGAACCTTGCTATCTTTATTAACATAAGCCATAACTTTAATTGTTCCATGAGTGAGAAATTTCCTTAAAATTAAAAATTGTCACAACTCGCCTAGGTCCCTCCTACGTTGGCAAAAATGCATTGATTGCATGGAAAATTACTTTGATTAATAAAAAACTAGAAAAAAGGGCGTTAACTTATTTTATGAAAAAATGGCAATTTCATAGGTAAAGACCTAATATATTATTATGCATATTTCACTTACCAGGTGGTAGAATTGAAGCCTGATCCCGAATGGACACTGCTGTGGTACTTGAGGAAGAAGCTGCGACTGACAGGCACCAAGCTGGGTTGTGCGGAGGGCGGCTGTGGAGCTTGCACCGTTATGGTGTCCAAATACAACCGCCAGGAGAATAAAATTGTGTATCCTTTATATGACACATAAGAAAACTTGTAGATAAAGATTTTTTTCTTCAGATTTATTAATCGAGCATTTTACTGTTTTAAATAAAAAAATATTGAATTTGTAGATTACACTGCACAACAAAATTGCAACTTTTGTCTGATTGACTTTTATCACATGATGTTTACTAATTTGACGTCGCTGATTCTAGATATACCCTCGTTTTTTTTTGTAACAGCTCTTGTTTACAAGTTATAACTTTCACAATAAAGTCGACATATGCCTGTGTTAATTTGTTGATAATAATATAATTTATTTCGTTTTCTGAATATAATTTGATATGGCGTCGTTAAGACGAGTTTGTGTGAATGATCTGAATCATTTTGTTTCATTTGCGGAGAGTATATGTTTAAAGATTACCGTTTGAATGTGACTATATTCGTAAATGAGGCTTACAAAAATAACTTTGGTCACCCGCTGGAAATTAAAAACAAGCCTTGGATTCCGTAAAAGGTATGCAAAACGTGTGTTGAGTTTCTACGTTTGTAGACAAATAAAAAAAGGAAAAGATTTAGCTACCAATGGGCTATGATCTGGAAAGAACCCGTGAACCACCACGATGATTGTTATTTTTGCTTATCTGGTATTAACCGAAAAAATCGAACCCAATGGGAATATCCTTCCATACCGTTGGCAAAATGACGTGTATCGTTCCGTTACGTATAAAACTAGGTCTTATTTTAAACAATTTGTAAAATGTCTTGACAAAAGTGTAAATTGTTTCCTTTTTCTATCAAAAAAGTTTCCAAAACTGAGTGCAGAAAAGATAAAAGCGGGAATTTTTGACCGGCCACAATTAATGTCATTAATAAAAGACTCAAATTTTATGGAAACTATGACAAATATTGAGAAAAAGGCATGGAATGAGTTTGTTTGGCTGGTACAAATTTTTTTGGGAAATAAGAAAAGATCGGACTTTTCTCAGCACGTCAAAGAACTAATGAGTCACTTTCAAAAGCTCGGATGTAACATGAGCATCAAGATACACTTTCTTCACAACCACTTAAACTATTTTCCCGCCAATCTTGGGGATCTAAGTGAAGAACAGGGCGAGCGATTCCACCAGGACCTTCGTACGATGGAGGCTATCAAGGCTACTGGAACGCTCACATGATGGCTGACTATTGTTGGAGCATTCAGAATAGCTCTCCGCCTTAGTTTCAGAAAGAAAATCCAATAAAAGAAAGTTTTATTCCACTTAAAATTAAATAAATTGAAATCATCTCCAAATATAGTGTTTTATTATAAAAAAAAACAATGTGTCATATTTTTTTAACTAGAGCTGATACTGAAATTTCAGTCACAGATTTGAAATCTTCGTTGAAAAATAGACTTCTATCATATAACATAATCCAACCATCAGAAATGTTGTTGTGCACTGTTATCTTCTCAATTTAAGGAAACAGATTCATCAATTTGTCTGTTGTTCTTAGATCCGTTGGATAAGCCGCATTTAGTTAAGTTATAGCACTTTTATTAATCAAGAAGGAAACTGAACAAGGAACATACAATCATCATGTTCATTGTTTGGTTGCTACTCTGCGAGTTTAGACGTTTTGCAATAAAGTTTTTTTAAAGATAGAAAATTCTGTAGTGATACGATGCGATGAATTTGTATGTACAGAGCACATTCGAATCAAAATCGGTATCACTTTTGAGAAATAAAGTCTGTTGCTAATAAGAAACTAAGTTATTAAAAAGTGAAGATATGGTATACTCATCATCATCATCATCAGCCTATTAATGTGCCCACTGCTGGGGCACAGGCCATTCCTATGGATGGAATAGGGAGATTGGGCTCGACCCACTACGCGGGCTTAGTGCGGATTGGTGGGTGCTAACGACTGCAGATGCAGCCGGGACCAACGGCTTAACATGCCTTCCGAAGCACGGAGGAACTCGAGATATAAGATTTTTGGTCACCCATCCAATGACCGACCACTGCGAAAGTTGCTTAACTTCATCGATCGCAGCCGGACGCGCCTACCACCTGCGCCATCGAGCCTCATACTAGCATCAAATAAAATATGATCCGACTCAACTACATAAGCAACTCACACACGCATACGTCTGTAAATAAACATTCAATCGATCGAATGCAGCGCGAGCGTTGTCCTTTTCTTGATGACAAAATGGCGATTACGTAAATAACCTTCACGACAAACAAACAGTTTTATGAATGAAAAGTGTTGCCGAGGCCTTTGTTATTTTATTTTGAACTATTTGTGTTATTTATAAAAGCATCTGAGGTAGGTATTGTTTTATCTTTATGACACAGAATATATGCAATATTGTTATATTGAGTGCACATGCAGTGTGTTTGAATGTCCAATTGTGACTAAAGCGAATTGTGGGCAAAAACCACAATTTAAGGGGATTACTTTTGAGCCGCGAGTGCCGTATCTTCCCTTTTTGTTGTAATCTAAGATTGTAAGTATGCAATAATTTTCTTATGTAACGTAATCAGTCATTTGGCAGTGAATGCGTGTTTAGCACCAGTTTGCTCTATGCACGGCCTCGCAGTCACCACAGTGGAGGGTATTGGCTCCACTAAGACGAAACTTCATCCAGTACAAGAACGCATCGCAAAAGCACACGGTTCTCAGTGCGGTTTCTGCACTCCTGGCATAGTAATGTCCATGTACGCTTTAATCAGGAGCTGTAAAAACATCAAATATTCCGATATGGAAGTCGCGTTTCAAGGCAACTTATGCCGATGCACAGGGTACAGAGCGATCATAGAAGGTTACAAAACATTTATTGAAGATTGGGAAACCAAAAGGCTAGTAGGGGATACACAAACTTCTCGTGGATGTGCCATGGGCAAAGAATGTTGTAAAAATAAGACTAATCGTGATGAAAATAAAAGTGAAACTGATTACATATTTGATAGATCGTCTTTTCTACCGTACGACGCCAGTCAAGAGCCAATATTTCCACCTGAATTAAAGCTGTCGGATGTTTATGACAGGCAATATTTAATATATAAAGGGAAGAATACCACATGGCACCGACCAACGGAGTTAATCACAATTTTGAAATTAAAGGAACAGTACCCTGGTGCTAAAATAGTAGTCGGTAATACGGAAGTTGGTGTCGAAGTCAAGTTTAAACATTGTATGTATCCAACAATCATAATGCCAAACTTAATTCCAGAAATGAATAATATTACAGAAAATAATGATGCTCTCACAGTCGGTGCAGCTGTTACTCTCATGGATATGGATAACAAATTTAAAGAATACATTGAAAATCTACCACGTTATAAAACAAGGACACTATCAACGATTGTAGATATGTTAAATTGGTTTGCCGGCAAACAGATAAGAAATGTAGCAGCTTTAGGAGGAAACATTATGACTGGGAGTCCTATTTCAGATTTGAATCCTATTTTAATGTCACTAAGAGTAAAGTTAAACCTTTTGAGCAAGCAGAATGGTCATCGATCTGTTTTAATGGATGAAAAATTCTTTACGGGATATAGGCGAAATGTGGTCAAATCTGATGAAGTTTTGCTATCGATAGAGATACCATTTTCCAAAAAATATCAATATGTAAAAGCTCTTAAACAGGCAAAGAGGCGAGAAGACGACATATCCATAGTTACTACTGCAATAAACGTGGAATTCAAAGAACACTCAAATGTTATTAAAAACATTGATATTGCTTATGGTGGTATGGCTCCAGTGACACTGGTAGTAACAAACACTTGTAAATCACTAATAGGTCAGAAGTGGAACGATGATTTGTTCGAAAAAGCTTATTCAAATTTGTTACAAGAGCTACCCCTTAATCCATCGGCTCCTGGTGGTAATATACAGTACAGAAGGGCTCTTACAATGAGTCTATTCTTAAAAGCTTATTTAGCTATTGCTAAAGAAATGTGCAGAGATTATATTAGTGAAGATTTTATCAAGCCTTACCACAGTAGCGGCGCTGAACAATTTCATGGCGGCATGCCAAAAAGTTCACAATATTTTGAATTAATAGGAGATAAGCAGAAGAAAACTGATATGGTTGGAAGACCAATTCAACATATGTCAGCTTACAAACAAGCTACGGGTGAAGCAATATACTGTGACGATATACCAATAGCTGAAAATGAATTGTATCTCGCGTTCGTACTAAGTACTAAAGCACACGCGAATTTAAAATCAGTTGATCCTCAAGAGGCCTTACAACAACCCGGTGTTGTGGCATTCTTTTCACATAAAGATTTGACACCGGAACAAAACAAAATTGGCCCAATCTTTCACGATGAAGAGCTTTTTATAAGCAAAAAGGTTTTCAGTCAAGGACAAATAATTGCAGCGATTGTGGGAGTAGATCAGGCGACAGCTCAATCTGCCGCAAGAAAAGTAAAAATTGAATACGAAGAACTTCAACCTATCATAGTCACTATGGAAGATGCAATCAAGCACAATTCATTTTACCCACAATATCCAAAGACAATACGAAGAGGCGACGTTAACACTGTTTTTGAAGATAAAAATAATATTGTTATCGAAGGGCAGTGCAGAATGGGCGGACAGGAACATTTTTATTTAGAAACTCATGCTGCCTTTGCAATCCCGAAAAAGGAAGATGACGAATTAGAAATATTTTGCTCCTCACAACATCCTTCTGAAATAGTGGTAAAAATTTAATAATTATAATTAGGTATTTTCAATATTACATGATAGGTATTGTTGTAGCAAAACAAAATTGTGACTAGTATTTTTTTAAAAGAACGGTAATTACATATTTTCTTACGAATTTGTTATGTTCAATTATTGTGAAATAAATTTGTAATGAATTATGTAATTACCACTATTATTATATTTTAAAAATGTTGTTGAAATTTTTTTTCAGAAACTCACTAGTCATGTATTGCATGTTCCTATGAACAGAATAGTGGCTAGAGTAAAGCGAATGGGTGGCGGGTTCGGAGGTAAAGAGTCAAGAGGCATACTTACAGCTTTGCCAGTGGCGCTTGCGGCTCACAAACTGCAGAAGCCAGTGCGGTGTATGCTTGATCGGGATGAAGACATGCAGTTGACCGGTACTAGACATCCCTTTTTGATAAAATATAAAGTAGCAGCTACAAAAGAAGGAAAATTAATGGGTGCTATTGTGAATATTTACAATAATGGAGGGTATTCCATGGATTTGTCCGGCGCTGTAAGTATAACATACCACAGTATAACATCTTAACTAATACTTATACATACATAAATATTTCTCTCTCTCTCTCACACATAGAAACGACAAATAACTTATACGAATAAAATGAATTTACAGGTAGTGGAAAGGGCGATGTTCCATTTCGGAAATGCTTACTACATACCAAACGTAGAAGTTACGGGTCACGTGTGTAAAACAAATTTACCTTCAAATACTGCATTCCGCGGATTCGGAGGACCACAGGGTATGTTTGGTGCCGAGAATATGATGAGACATGTAGCATCTGTTCTTGGGAAGAATCCCGAAGATTTGAGCAAACTGAACTTATATCGCGAGAACTTAGTAACTCATTATGGCCAAATTTTGACCCACTGTACTTTACAAAAATGCTGGGACGAATGCGTCGAAAAGAGTAATCTTGTTGATAGAAAGAAGAATATTGACCTTTTTAATAGGTAATAATATACTTGTATCTACAGCATTTCAAAAGTACATTTTTGATAACTTTATTCTTGCAATTGATTAACTCCTCTACGTAATTACAGACAACATCGATGGCGAAAACGGGGAATTTCTATCATTCCAACCCAATTTGGTATAGCATTTACAGAGAAGATGTTGAATCAGGCTGGTGCTTTAGTTATGATTTACGTAGATGGATCGGTGCTGTTGTCACATGGAGGTACAGAGATGGGGCAAGGATTACACACAAAGATGCTTCAAGTAGCTTCACGTGTTCTAGGTGTTGATATATCAAAGATTCATATTAGTGAGACTGCTACTGACAAAGTACCAAATACCTCCGCCACAGCGGCGAGTGCGGGATCTGATCTAAATGGAATGGCTGTGCTTGAGGCATGTCAGAAGCTAGTAAAACGACTTCAACCATATAAAGAAAAGAATCCTAATGGGAAGTGGGAGGATTGGGTTATTGCAGCATACCTCGATCGAGTCAGTCTATCTGCTACTGGGTTCCATGCAACTCCAGATATCGGATACGATTTCAAAACGAACACCGGCAAGCCTTTCAATTATTTCACTTTTGGAGTGGCATGTTCAGAAGTGGAAATCGACTGTCTAAGTGGAGATCATCAAGTGATACGGACCGATATAGTTATGGACTTGGGTGAAAGCATAAATCCTGCCATTGATATCGGACAGATAGAAGGCGCTTTTGTGCAGGGATATGGCTTGTTTACTATGGAAGAATTGATTTACTCACCAACAGGTACATTGTACTCGAGGGGTCCAGGTGCGTACAAAATACCAGGATTCGGCGACATTCCTCAGGAATTCAACGTTTCCTTACTGAAGGGAGCTCCGAATCCAAGAGCTGTGTATTCATCAAAGGTGAGTATACTATTCGGTTACGTTGATTCATTTACATTCTTTCATTCGTAGTAAATTATACAGGTATTATTTATACTTTAACTAAACGCGTGGTGTACCTTTACATAGAGCTATCTGAATGGTGTCTTCAACTTCAACATTAAACTCAATCAATTCCATTTTTCGGCATTTTCAAGGGATGGTACCCTTTTATGAACATATTTACTTTTCTGTTTGTGTTATACTTATGTATACTGACAATCCGTAACGATGTTATTCGAGAAGGCAGATTTATAGAGCTAACGATTCAATAAAATACAGTGGTAAAATTTTTGTTCTACGACAAATATTGACGAAGTTATGACCAAATTGCTTAATGAAATTTCGACTGGCTGCGTAGTGACTGTGACATCGCAGAGCTAGCGCTCGGGCGCGTGCGTAGAGACGCTACTAAAGTTCCACCAGAGAGAACCACGATCGAGCTCTGTGACGTCACCCGTTTCAGCCGCCGGTGAATAATGGCTGACTTCGCTGATTTAAAAAGTATATTAATTATAAAGCTTATTAGATCATTATTTTCAATGGATTTGCTGACCTAGTAATGATCCTAATTATAAAGTAACTTGCTTTTTTTAAATTGCCTTCGAAGGCCATCAGGCCACCTGATGTTAAGTGGTCACCGTCGCCCATGGTCAGCAATGTCAGTGACACAGCCATGCCGCAGCCTATCGTGGAACACTCTAAAGCCTCTCATGAAGAGGACCATGTTATAATTCGGAGGGAACACTAGGAGGGAAGCTCATTCCATAATATTATTTTCCTGCTATCAGAATATTACGCGTGCTATATGATGTTTTATCAATTTTCCACAGGCTGTGGGTGAACCTCCGTTATTCTTGGCGAGCACCGTGTTCTTCGCAATCAAAGACGCTATAAGGGCTGCTAGAGCGGATGCAGGTGTTCCGCTATACTTCGACCTCGAATCACCAGCCACGTCGGCGCGAATTCGTATGGCGTGCGAGGATCACATCACTAAGAAGGTATTATATAAAGATGTTTCATCTATATACTTATTACCTAAATACTAAGCGTCGATATGGTTTGTTAAGATCTCTTAAGTTAGAGCAAAGGGAATTGTGCTGCGCTGCCACTTTTATTTTAATAACAATAATATAAGATGTCAAATGATATAAGGAAACAACAAATTGAAAGGCATCTCTGAGTGCAGCGGTGGCAGTGAATACGGAAATTAAGTGTTCAGCGATTATGGCTTCGTAACAAGGTCTTGAGTTCGATTTCTGGTAGGGGCACTTATTTGTGTAATGAGCACATATATTTGTGACATTCATGGATGATATACCTACTTAGAGAAAAAAAGGTGTTGTTAAGAATACTGTCTAATATTCATTATGTAGGTAATTTATTTTTATATTATTATCGTTTGTTTCAGCTTGACAAGCCGAACCCGAACAGCTTTACGCCGTGGAATATTGTACCATAATACGATACATATATATTTAGTGATTACAGTATACGTAAATATAACTAATTGAATATCTGTAAGAATATATCTTTATATCATCTACGTAAAAACAGTAGTAGTGTAGTGTTGTGAATACGTTAATTATTATAAGTAGAACAAAAAATTAATAATTATATAGAAAAATATAGTTTTTATTGAGACTCACAATCAAGCCCCATCGTTTGTATAAGTATAGATGTAAAGGTCAACGGGCAAAGTTGGTATTTTTTTGTTTTATACACTGACAATGAACACTAAAAAGAATCAAATAATTATTAAAGGTAGATCGCTTAACTGAGTCCTCGCCTGCGGGGTGAAGGGTGTGGGGGACAGCGTTGCCAGACGTCCCGATTTTTAAATCAAAATTTAATGTCCCGGGACAGCCTCAATCTCGCTTTTCGGGAATAACTGGACCGTGTGAGCAGCGCACTGAAAAAGCGCGCGCGGGTGGCACCGACAAGTGTGAACTGACCGCGCGACCGACCGGCGCGTAATGAAGATAAATATTGAGTAACTTTTGATTATTTACGTTTTTTTACTATGTCCCGCTTTCGACGAAAGAATCCCGCTTTTTTCACTCAAAAAGTTCCTAAATCCCGACTTGGCTAAAAAATTCTGGCAATGGGGGACGACGAGAATGGGGTCCGTGAGAAGTGCGGGCGCGGGCGCTTGTATTTTTGACAAGAATATGCCTGCCGCCACACCCTTTACCCCGCAGATGTGGGCTGAGTTAAGTGGTCTACCTATAGTTTGCAAGGTGAGTGAAGTTATAATATGCGTCATCAATAGTACTACTTTATAAATCAAAGTCCGGTCGAATTTATTTAAAGATGAAATGCTTTAAAATAATTTTCTTATAACTTAGTAGCTATTCGTGCGTTTGAGATGTGACAATGCGGTCAAACTGTTGCCCCCTTATTAATAAACGAGGAATAAGCTTAGGCTAGTTACAACGTGTTTGTTCATGTCACTCAAGTGCCATTTGCAATTCAATGAACAGAGACAAAACATAGAGTTACTAATCTAATCTTATTCGTCGTTTAGTTATTTAAGGGGGTTGGAGTTTGGTAGAATATAAAAAAGTAATGAACTCAATATTTTTGAAAATATAAATAAATAAATAGAAATATTTCATACTGAATTAATTTTAATATTAAAGATAAATGTAAAATTTCATTTAATAAATAATGAAATCTTAATATTAATCTGCATTAGCTAGTTTTATAAAAACTAATTTTGATATAAAGAAAAGGCAGAAAATGTATAGATAAAATTATTTATTTATTTTAAAATCATATCTAATATAATACAATTGAGTGACTAATAAACAACAATGGTCAATAAATTAAACATTGCAATAAATGTAGTGTATAAACAGCTGGTTTTGCATATCTTAGGATGGCAATTTAAAAGGATATTTTTATGAATAACAAACATCTGATTCAGCCATTGTAATCAAATGCACAACATCATTAATTGCGATTATCATAGCTTAGTGATCTTCACTTTACTTTATCCCTCGTTTTTATTCCTTAACATAGTAGTTACTCATCTATTATAAAACAATTACAAAGATTTAATGTGCCTTATGAAATAGTTTGACGAGGTGATTTCCACGGATCTAGCTTGTAACCCAGAACTTTTAATGTCATTATATTATTATGCATGTCAGCGGATAGCATACAGAAAATCATTTGGCATTTACTTATTTAGCAAACATTCAAACGCATAATTAAGGAAGCCAGAATCATCTTTTGGCATAAACTAAATATCCACAATAATTAAAAAGCAGAATTATCATATCGCAGAAAGTTCACAGTATTCTTCTGGCACACAAAAATTTAACTTTTCTTATTAATCATCATCTATTGTCTATGGGGACTAGCGCATTGCTGGCCGCTGCACGCTCGCTTTGCTAAGATTAGGTCCAACACTAACCTAACCTAACCCACTGACCACAAATACCGATCATGCTTAGCGAAATTATGCAGAATAAAATTTTGCCAAAGGTAATGCTTATTAAAATTCTTCCATCTCAAAAGTATGCTATTGTGAATTCAGCCATATAAACATTCGGCCTATTAATATTATACTTAATAAAAAACATGCCTTACAAATATTCGTTTAACGAAGATTATACCAAATAAATTTCGGAACAACAAGATTCAGCCAGATAGAGGGAACCCGATTTGCACAGATGAAAACCAACTTAGAAATGGAAGAATCCGACTGGTGTTGTAATACAAAACCTTATATCTTAAATTTATTCAATCTTATATAAATAAGTTTTAATTTATTTTCGTTTTCCATACCCAATCCATAGCACCCAAGAGTTATTTCTCTCATACAGTGAACTCTGTTTCGTCACGTATTACAATATATGTATATATTTTTTATTAAATATTTACTTTTTATCGGCAGATCTATTTGTAAATATACATATTATATGCAACTTGCTACAACCAAGTTGCGATCGAGTTTCTACCGAATATAGTCGTTCACAATGACGCTAAAATTCTTTATAACGTAAAGAAGACCAGTCTCTGTAGCATGAGCACCACAATATACACTTTAACACGTTTTTTATCGTGTCTTACTGTCAAACTCCATAGTAATTTGGCAATTAAGAGAGGAGGAGAGAGGGCCCGACACCTTCGTTTAATGGTTTTGAATAACAATAAAGTTTGTGATTTAATACAAAATACATACACGAAGCCTGAAAATATAATATTTTACTACACTCCTTTTTCGAAGTCGTGCAAAAACCATACTAGCTACTCAGGCGCGTTGATATATCCGTAATAGATCTGCCGATATAGAAAACTACGCTTTGATTATCATTTATAGATTGATAGTGTATAGCGATAAAGCATGTAAATCGAATGAAGTTGTTGGGCGGTGAAGGTTAAGTGAGAAAACAGCAAAGGCAGTATGCAAACTCTTTGAGCAGTGATAGAGTCAAAGAATATTATGCTACTTTTTTATTACTTAAATTTAAAAACATTATAGCCAAAAATAGTGGAAGACCAATTAATAAATAAATAGGAAAATATTTATGTAGAATAATAAGTCAACAAGTATGTGTACGTAAGAAATAAATAAATAAAGTAATATAATGATCATACATATGAAATCAAAGATAGAAAAGTTGATGATGTTGATGATAGATTAATATGAATTTTGGTAATTAATAAATAAATGCATTCCGTGAGACGGTATTCGTATTCTTCTTAAACCACAACTATATATCTAGTTTTACAAATAGGATTACAAAATGTCGTACTCATTAGACTTCAACAGTATATTATGATAGATTACCACATCTTAAAGTTTATAACTAAAAGAAAATAAAATAAATAATTTAATATCATTTACGATTCGTCCATACTGAGGCTTTGTTTGTTAATTATAAAACATTTTCATGAGATTATTTTTTAAAACTTGTTTTCGATACCAAAAAGCTATGCTCAATATGATCTTTTAAAAAAAAAAGAAAAAAGGATAATAAGGATTTTTGTAAAGGATCTTCAATATACATGTCAAACAATTTCAATCATTAGGATTCGATACTAATGGTAGAAAGGAACTCTTTAAAAAGCAAATGACACATCCCAAATTGATTTATATCTAACTCATCAAAAGAGTCTCAGCAACATAAACGTTTTTGAACTTTTGACCGATGTTTAATATTTTTAATACTTAATTTTTATTAATAATAACCAATTTGATTAAACCAACTTGCAGTTTGCGTAAATGATGCATGTTGCTAAAGCTTTTTTGATGTGTGTAGTATAGGTGCGAAAATTCTGTATGAGTAAACAAAACCAAGTGTTCCCCAGCGGTTACGAGCCATAATTTTATGAATAAAATAAGTAAATATACGTAAGGACTAAGAACTATAAAATCACAACATAAAATAAAAATCATATAAAAGTTAGGTATGGCAAGACTGATTAAGTATCAATAAAAATTATAAAACCATAACATGTCTGCTTATCTGTGGGGTGATTGGCTCAAAGTATGTCAAAAATATGACGTTTGGCGGTGAACATTTTCGTTAAATCGGGTCCCCAGAAAAAGATTTTTGTAAACATTAAACCAAAACACATACGCGAAACTTTGTTTCTGAATTATGTTAATCTACACACGCCGTCTACTGCTCGCGTGGCCGTGGCTGTAGTACTCAAAATACACAGTGCTCGTGTGACAAAAGTTTCATACATTTTATGTCAGAATTGAAACTTTAAGTTACACTCGAAGCGTAGGAACGAACGTTTGGAACGTAGTTCCCGCTATAGAATTGTCAAAATAATGGCCGATGAAAGAAAACCGTGCCCCTCGACCCGCGTCGAGGTGATTTGTGCACGTGTTTTCCACCAGGCTCGGAAAGCAAAAATATTGATGCATACAAATATGTGTAGTGAAACAAAGTTTTGTGTAGACGGTTTTGTTGAATGTTGATTTGTTTTTCTTGATTTTGTAGGGCATAATACGCGCTGGGAACCCTGCTAAACTCATTAATTTTGTACTACTATCAAAACAAACGCTGTCAATTTAGAGGTTGAATATTTGATTCAAAACAAAATCTACGGTTTTCACGTTAGTTATCTATTTTTATGCCTAAGATCTTCTATTGTATCTATGTAAATTATACAAACGCAGATTTGATCAGCTAAATTAAAATATGGCTTTTATATAAGAAACTGTTTTTAAATCTCAAGAGTGCTTTGTATGTGTTATGGTTTCTCAGTTTGTGAATATGTATGTAGAAACCCCTTCTGTCCTAGTCGTAGATACTTACAAGATACCGTTTAATTTAAAACGCGTAATTAAAGGTTGCATTGGCATGGCAACCATGCTAGACGCACAATATAGTCGTTTTTGGCTTAAATTAATTGTTCATAACGCGCTTTATTACTTAAATTATATCAAAAAGCGCTGTCTTTTAGTGTGTAGATTTTCTCCTTCAGAGATAACACAGGATATATAAGTTCCATTGCCATCCTTCACTCTGTGTGATCGGGCTCAATGTAAAAATAGATAACATGCTTAGTTTATTATATTTTTTTGGTTTATTTATGGCTATGCATGCAGCCTCTGACGGTTTAGAGATATCGCACTATGACGCCATATTTTTTTACTCTAAATGATAGTAAGCGGCCATTTTGGATTTTGGTTTAGTAACGCTACCACGAAACCATTTTTCTTACTATGTGGACCGCGCTAGAGCATCCTCGCTAAAGAAAACTATTTCATTTCAGTCTTGTAATCAATATGAGTTCAAATCTGATGTGCCCTAGGTATTTCTATTTTCATATTACAGTACATTGTTATCTCAAATTTACATTGATTCAGAGTATACCAGCTGTCGATTTAGCTTACCACATACCCAGTTTCGATATTTAATCTTGACAGACATTATAGTTAACCAATTCGTTACATTCCACCGACACTTATCGTTTTGGCCTCAAATTTCTTAATCGTAATATTAACATAACAAACCTATTGAAAATTAATTTCATTTATCCGATTCTGATGAGCATCCCGACCCTGAACTCGGACCTGAAAATAATTATGAGAAAAATAAAGATATTAAATAAATTCCTCACATCGTTGGTGCTTTTACTTGCCTATTTTTCTTTATGTTTTGAGTTATTTGAGGAGCTTGATGGCGCGGGTGGTTAGCGCGTTCGGCTGCGATCATTGAAGTTAAGCAACTTTCGCAGTGGTCGGTCATTGGATGGGTGACCATAAATCTTCTATCTCGAGTTCCTCCGTGCTTCGGAAGGCATGTTAAGCCGTTGGTCCCAGCTGCAGCTACAGTCGTTAGCGCCCGCCAACCGCACTGGGCTCGCGTGGTGGGTCATGGCCCAATCTCCCTATTCCATCCATAGGAAAGGCCTGTGCCCCAGCAGTGGGGACATTAATAGGCTGATGATGAATGATGATGATTAAGTTAAGAAAGCTATACGTAGAACTATAGTTATTGTATGCAATAGGGTATTTGACAAGTTTTTGAAAACGATTATAGGTTATTTCAAGTGTTAATGGACCCCATAAAAGTGAATATTTAGCATTCTGTTGTGTATTTCCATAAAACGGCTTTGATTAAAACTTCAAACAGTACAATGTAATGTCACTTTTATCAGCAAGTTTACGTGTGTGTGTAATTTGTGTTATTTGAGGCTTCTCTAATAGAAGGCAGTGTTTTTTTGTCAGAATCTTCTCAGACATTGTGCTATATTTTCAATATAAAAATTGACTTCACGTTTGTTTCAAAAGGAAAATGTTCCGTTTTACAAAAATAAATGAACGAATATATTATATAATATATTTTGAATATTGTCGAATAGCCTATTGTTTTCAATGCATGAATTATGTCTATTTTGTTTCAAAGTAAATGTAACTAATTAGAAATGATATGAAAGCATTACTGATTAACAAAACATGGTTCCAAACTCATACACTAAACTTCTATATTAACGCGACACGCACACAGACAAACAAAATAATTTATTAATACAAATTGCAAATTAATTCAGCTATTCATTCATTGGGTAAGATAATGTGAAACCGAAATCGCAGCCAATACCATGATCGCCGTGTTCATCGTATTTTTTTCGCTCCGCCTATTTGATCGCAGTTTGCTTGGAATCACTTTTGAGAGTATTCCATATCATTTTAGAACTAAGTCAGACAAAACGTTTGTAATTAGCAGGACTAAGTTTGCTGCAAATAGTTTCATATCTAGAGCATGTCAAAGATATAATAAATACTTCATATATTTTGCCTTTCTTACAATCAATTTAGAAATGAATGGTATAAGGTCCGTTTTACCCTAACACTCAGTAACTATTTTCTTACCATAAATTTTAATTATCATGATCTTTATTGTATTCACATAACTCTAAATACTCTAACTTTAAGTCAATTATGTAGGTGTATGAATGTTTCAGTCTGTGGAAACTTAACTGGTTTATGGAAAAGTAATAAGTGTTACTTAATTGAATTGTGTAAAACTGTATGTTTCCCAAATGAAAATAAATAAATAAATTTCTAATCTAATTCGTTGAGCAAATGAGTATTACCTGAGTGTCTTGAGTACCGACGACGTCGTCGTGGTTCCCTCGAGGGGCTGTCCGAGTTATATTCAGTCTCCGTGTCCATGGGCGGGCCGTTTCTGGTCCGCGAACTACGGCCTTCTTCGTACCTGATATAAAAAAATATGTATGAAAAAACCGGCCAAGTCTGAGATGGCGGACTCTCGCACAAAGGGTTCCGTAGCATTAACTACAACATTAGATACTATATTATAAAATCGAGCAAAAAAACGACAATAAAACAATGTTGCATGGGAGCCTCGGATAAATATTAATTTTATTGTAATTTCATAATTATTATTCTTTAAATTGGATATACAATTAAATATTCTGTGATCTTTCAAGCGTCTTCTTGTTGCAGTTATTAATATAGAGCAAAAACGACCCAATAAAAAAACAATTTGTTGTATGGGAGCACTCCTTAAATATTTATGTTATTCTTTTTTTAGTATTTGTTGTTATAGCGGCAACAGAAATTCGTCATCTGTGAACATTTGAACTGTTTTGCTATCAAGGTTCATAAGATATAGCCTGGCGAAAGACAAACAGATAGATGAACAGACAAACAGACCGATGGACAGACAAACAGTCAGTGGTGTCTTAGTAGTAGGATCCTGTTTTTACCCTTTGGACACGGAACCTTAAAAAGGATCTTTATCGATTGATAGTTAAACGACCTTTGTACTGAAGAGGTATGCAGGTGAGTACTTTGAGGACCTGGGTTTTAATTTCGGTAGGGGCAAATGTTGTGATGAATACGAGCTTTTCTGTGAGTCATGCATGTTTATATATTATGTATCTCGACTTCATAACAGAAGACTTATTGGTGCACTTTCGGGCTAGGCTAATTGGAATGAGTGTAAGAAACATTAATTTATAGAGGACCTTGATGGCGCAGTGATTAGCAAGTTCAACTTGCGGTCGTGGAAGTCAAGCAACTCTTCCAATGGTTATTTATGGGATAGATAAACACGGGCACGTTTAGCCGTTGGCCCCAGCAGCTACATCTGCTCGTTATCATTCACCTATTCGTATTAATTAGGCCTGCATTAAGGGGCATGACCCGTCTCCCCATTCTACCCAAAGGGAAGGCAAATCTAGTACTTCAGTGAAACAATGAGTTGTCTGGAATGACGGGCACCAGGTGGCAGCACTGAGACGAAAGGTCTACTCATCCGTTAAATCACTTATGTCTGCATAGTCTACGGTGTCTCCCAGATAATAGGTTTATGTATTGACTAGCGGCCCGCCCTCGCTTCGCTTCGGTGTAGAGCTGAAGTGTAGGCTACAGTTTTTGTTCTCAGGCTTGTATTATATACAATGACATTCATTTATGATTCTTCTTATACCTGCATGCAGTCTCAGCCCGATCGGTTTAAAATTGACAAAGTTTCATACAAACTTTTACTCCCTATTTTATCCACTTGGGGGTAGAATGGATCAAAATCCTTTCTTAGCGGATGCCTATGCCATAACATCTACCTGCATGCCAAATTTCAGCCTGATCCGTCCAGTGGTTTGGGCTGTGCGTTGATAGATCACTATGTCAGACAGTCACCTTTGAGTTTTATATACACACATCAAAAGTGTCTAGGGATCAAGCATTTTTATGCGGATTTCTTGAGATTGAGATGTGGCTTTGTAATAAATTTATGATTTTATAAATTTATATGGATCCTTTTTGGTGCATTTCATAATTTGAATCAGGAACTGTGAATCAAATTCGAGTAAAAGATGAAAATCAGCTGTCAATATTTTCCCTATAAAAACATACAACGCATTGAAGACATTATTAGTGCTACTGTTTCCCTACTACTGATTAAAACCAACGTTATTATGGAGCGGCGACGTCATTTAAGCAGGGAAGAAATGCTCAGAGCCGTGGGAATGATAGAAGCTGGTTCCCGGCAACGTACTGTGGCTTTAGCTCTGAATACAAGTCAGAGTGTTATCAGTCGACTTTGGACACGATACCGAAGCACTGGTACCGTGGCTGAGCGCCATGGAGGACGGTATCGCTGCACCACACGGAGACAAGACCGATACATTCAAATCTTAACTCGAAGAGCTCCAACAATAACCGCCATGATGTTAGCCGTGAGGCTTCATCACTCTTCAGGGAACTTAATTAGCGACCAAACAGTCAGAAACCGCTTGCATGAAGTGAACCTTCATTCCCGAAGACCGCTACGGGTACCACCTATAGCAATGCACAATCGTAGGATTCGATATCAATGGGCTCTTGAACACAGAAATTGGGCAGAAGAACAATGGCGTTTCGTGTGCTTTTCTGATGAGTCTCGTTTTGGTATGAGACCGGATACAAGACGTATACGACACTGGAGAACCCCTGGACGCCAACAGCGATTAAAATCCTGCCAGGAAGTCCATCCTTATAGTGGTGGAACCATCATGGTATGGGCGGGTATTTGGATCGGCGGAAGAACTGAGTTGATTTGGATCAGAGGCAACCTCAACGCTCAAATTTATGCTGAGACGATTGTATCAGACGTCATCGTTCCTCTACAAGTGCAAATCGGTCCCTTATTTCAGTTAATGCATGATAATGCACGACCGCACACCGCAAGAGTTGTAAGACAGACTCTCGCCGCAGCTAACATCAATGTCCTGCCCTGGCCTGCTCAGTCGCCAGACTTGAACCCGATTGAGCATGCATGGGATATGCTACAGAGAAGAGCTCTGCCGAATATGGAGGGTATCCAGTCGCAAGAACTTTTTTTGTTGTTGCAACGAACATGGGCGGCCATTCCACAGCGTGATTTGGATGAACTCATTTTGAGTATGCCAAACCGATGTTCTTGTGTTGTTAGTGTTCGCGGTAGAAATACGGATTATTAATTGTTTAAGTTACCCAATAAAATTTTAGAGAAAACTGTTATTTCAGTCTTTTTTTCGAACTTTTGTGTTAGTGGTTCAAATGTCAAATATCCCTTTATTAGGAAAATGGAAAATTTCTTTATTAATGCAAAGGTGACTTGGTTTATCGTTACTGTGACAAACGAAAACACTTTATTTGATGAATCCTTAAAGAAAATTTTAATTAATATCAATCAGGAGAAAAGTTATTGCAAAAATATATGTTGATCCCTAGACACTTTTGATGTGTGTATATAGATTAAGCTAGTTACCTATTGTACTGTTACACCTTTTGTGAGAAGAAAATAAATGGTATATTATTATTATTATTACTAAGTCGACGGTCGTTAATAGTGTCGATAAACTTAATTTTGACAACAGTGTAACCTTGTGCTGCTCTATACAGAATGAAAAGGAGAGACTGATGTTAATTTTAGTTTTAAGTTTAGAGAAACATGCCAGAATCGACACCACTATATGGTATAATTCTATTACCTCTCTCTGGATCTGCGTCGCGAGCGCGGCGAGTAGGGCGAACGATGGACGCGCGGCGAGTACCGGCTGTCCGGCGAGTACCGGACCGTTTCCGGCGAGTACCGGCTTTCGGGCGAGTAGCGGCTCTCCGGCGAGTACCGGCTGTCCGGTGAGTAGCGGCGTTCGCTGTATCTGCAAGGATAAGATTTTATGTCAATGCCAACGAATTAGAAATGAGGAGCTGGTGAACAAAACGGTATAATTACATAAAAGAAAATTTTACAGGAGCTGTAAAAAACTGTATGACATACCTACAGTGAGCTTTTGGCGTGATTTTTTATTTATAAATTTAGTTATTTAAACACTGTTTTAGGCGGTTTTGATTGAAAATGAGTTGAAATTAAAATTCCGCGGGCCCAAAACCTCCGAACTGTAAAAAGAAAGTTGTTCTACCAGATGCGTGATTATACCGTTTTGTACGCCTGCTCCTCAAATAATATGGAACACGAACTGCGCTAAAAAGTAGTTCCACGCAAACTGCGATCAAGTGGGCGTGGCGAAAATTTGAGATCAGCACGCCGATCATGGGATTGGTTCGGATTTTCATTTGATATTATGTTACCTAATGAATGGATAGCCAAATTCATTTCGAGATATTTGATTTATCAAATTATTTTATTTGGTCCGGCAAACTTCTTGAGCAACGACCATAGACAAGGAAGCCTGCGAAGTAGCAATTTTACATACAAAAAGGTCTACTGCTGTCTGTCTGTGGATTTGCTCAAGAAGTTTGCCGCGACCTATACTAAAGGAAAGATAATTTTATTTGTATCGAACAGGTTAAATATTCAGTAGGATTATTGACGTGACAACGTCTTAAATTAGGTTGCGGCTGGGAGTCACTTATGAAAAAGTGTAACGCTCGGTAACGTTACGATGAGTCTCTCGTGTTAAGTTTAAGTTTACATGTACAATGTTTTAGTAAACAAAATATATTTCTATAGTTAAAATTTGTGCAATTCTTATTTTCATTCAATTCCTTGTTCCTATTGTGCAATTTAATTATATTCATATCAATAAATATTCTACCGAGAAAAAGACGTTGTCACGTAAAATCTTCGCCCGTAAAACCGACTTTACAGGCAACCATTTTTTTTTTCTACGGCAAGTAGGGACGCTCACTTTATCCGCAAGGAATCGATTTTATGACAATGCGGACGACAGCTTATTAAAGGTCAGGTTGAAATTAATTTGTTTATTGGAACGAGGTTCTTTCTCAGAGGGTTTGGCTGATAGGGGCTAGAGGAAAAATTTTCGACACAACCTAGTGAAGCGCTTAACTAGGCAGCTGGGCGTAGGGTTACCATCCGTTCGGATTAGTCCGGATATGTCCGAACTCTTAGACCATAGTCCTTTTTTAATTACATTGATTATGAATAATAAATGTACATATTGATTCAAATACTTTACCATTGTAACTAAGTGAGTGACAGCGAGGCGACGACTGACGGCGGTGGTTGTGGACTTGATTTAAAGTTTTATTTGGTGAGTAAGGGGGCGTTCAAGTATTAACGCAATTTGGGGGGGGGGGGGTCTTGTAAAACGTTACGATGCGTTACAGGTGCGAGAGGGTGGTTTCGATCAACGCGTTACGTAACATTAACACGCGCATTAAAATAAAAAATAAAACGTATTAAAATCATTCAGTAAGGTATTAAAATCTGTATTGCGAATAAGAAATCGATTATTTTAATTATTAATTACTACCGCAAACACGACTAAAACAATAACAAAAGTAATTTAGCGACTTTCCGGTAGTTTGCGCAACATAGATGTGACATTTGGGTAAAAAATGGTCAGTTGGGTGTTACGTAACGTTAATCTGGGGGGGCAGGAAGTCGTTACGTGCTTTACATGGGGGGAGCCTGACGATCAGCCCTTGTAACGTACCTCAGGAATCGTCCCATGGTTTTGACTATCTTAGGTTCCATTTCGCACATTTTATCATATAACATCATCGATATTCATCAAGCATCAACATATATTTTATTATGTATTCCTGGAAACACATAATTTGAAAAATATCACACACTATTCATCGTTTTGTAAATACGTATAGTAATTCCATCTGTACTGAAAATCACTATTCCAGAGTGCTGGACACTTACCGGCATTTCTCTTTATTCTGTTATTTATTTGTTTTCATTAATTTTGCTTCGATTTTATCTATTTTTAGTTTATTTATATATAGTATATTTATTTATTGACATTTATGATAACTTAATGTTTTTTATCCGTTGTCATGGCTACCCATGATACGGATACTCTCTCCAACTACGTCTATGACTATTCAACCTCCACAGACCACCTACTTTGATTCTTTTTAGCTCGATTCGAATCGTGTCTAAATTTAAACGGTTCCGGACCTATAAAAGGCCGAGCCTCCCTGATCATTCATTCAATTCTACGGCAAAAGTTGCCTACTCAACTTTTGATAGCTCGCTACCGAGCTTTAAATTAATAAAAGGCCTTGCCCGCCTGGACTCCAGCTTCCTCGGCCAGCCTCCAACTGCTTCAGCCCGCCTTCTACCGATTCCTGCCGTTCCACCAACTCCTGCCACCGGCCGATATTCGCCGGCCAACCTACCAGCAGCACCCGCCAGCCACCACCAGGGCAGGCCAAGACCGGAGACGCCTGAACAGGAGCGCTTCTGCCTCCTAGGAGTGCCGCCCGTCTGCCAGCAGCTCGCCCTCGATTCTCAACGAAGAAGATCGCCGACGACCCACGCCCACTTCACCACTTCCACTTCACACCCCACACTTCACACACATACCATACCCCTATTTTTTTATAATCTGTAAATAATACTTTATTCTTGTAAATATATATAGTTTATAACCTCGTCCAGTTTTTCTTTTTTTTGTTTCTATTTATTTTGTCGCTGCCCGACACCCTCCGATAAAATTTGCGTTACGTAATACTTGAACCCCCCCTAATAGACCGGGAGCAGTGGCAATGGACTGGCGATACTTACTTACTATGCTTCGTCTCTCGATCCTCGCAGTCATCTGCACAGTACCCTTAGCACGAACTTATATCGAATTCGTAACGTTTGCGAGTCCGAAGTGTTATTGCCAATTATGTACTGATTTTTAGTTCTCGTTACGTTCTTTGTGGCGCTGCTGTTCATGTTTCCATACAAAGGACAATGGGCAAAACACACCCAGCTCCGCCAACAATGTAATTAGTATGAATCGATAGATCTATGATAAACTAGCCTTTTTTATTATGACACCGTAAAAAAATATCGCGGTAGTCAAAAGATATGACACTGTAAACAATATCCTGGTAGTCAAAAAATATGACACAATCATGGCATATTTAAGTAGCTTAATCAATTAATTTTATAGTACCTTCATTTTATATTATTAGTAACCATAATAATATGCCATATCGTACTATACAACCAGATATACGACAAAGCCTGCCGACCATCCTGCGCTTGCACTTATTGAGCCACTACAAAACGCTTTACGGGGGCTGAAGAACTTGCAGTTGCAAATAGTCGACCTGTCATACTTCGTTGTGATCGTGCGCTCCCTATCACTTGATTGATTTTTATCTCACACGCTTTGAGCATTAGAACACGATTATCGATTTTGTCAATTAGTATGGATGAACTGGAATCATGTTTTCTCCGAAGCCTGGACAAGCTTGTGTGATTTGTGATCGCTTCGTTTTACATAGAAGACAATTTACTATAATGAACAAACTGTTTGCTAAAACCCCAACCCATGCGGGGATTTTTGGATTCACTTTAGCGCGGCAGAATAACACAAGGGGACAACCTTGCACCTTGTGAAGTACTCCCATAATACCTGAGCCCTCTATGTACGGTTGAACTTACTAACTAAATTAATTCCCTTGTTTCATTAATGTACGTTCGTTATAGTACTTGTACCTATTTAACTTAAAATAACTAAAGACTAAATAAAACTAGTTTTTACGGGTTAATGCACGTAATTTTATTTATTTATTGACGTTTCCAATTGACGTTTCCAAAACCACTACATTAGATTTGATAGACCACAGATCCTTGCAGCTTTGAAGAACGAATGATGCGCGAGGCTATTGAGATTAAAAAATATCCAAATTTCAATAGGGAAGATGGTTGGTATATACCACCAGCTTGGGAACCTATTATACAGGAGATAAAATCCCAACCCCGAGCACACACTGCAAGACCATCAGATACTATTAGTTCTTTTTGTTTGCATAATTTAACATAAGAAGGAGATAGAAAGCCTCTCTTGAGTTTGTTTCGCCGGTTCTTCTCAGAAAGGTCTCCCAATTTTGGAACCGGTGGTAGTTTACGGTAGTTAGGGTCAAATAAATAAACTCAAAATTACAAAAAAGATTTTGAAATAAAATACTTTAAATTAAATAATAAATTCATACATAGATAATAAAACTTAAAAATCGAACAATGAAATAACCAAACGCTCAATAAAAGTCTTTCGAAGGTAGCTCGACAAACTGAATAAAAGTTTTATTCTGACGACGTAGCCTGTAAAGGCTACGAAACGTCAATAAAAAAATAAAATTTCGTGCATTAACCCGTAAAAACTAGTTTTATTTAATGAGTGATGTGCGTGAAAACCTAAGAAACAAATAACTAAAGACCCTCGGGATGGAATTTGATGCGCTTTGGCACAGATGATCATGACTTATAATACCTTTCAAATAAATGTAGTTTAAGCCGTGGCGGACGCGGGTGCAGCGGACATACATTTTTGCCCAATGTTCTTTGACACTCGTAAACTATGTATTCAAATTCGATAATGGTTTGAGCTAAGGGTACAGTTCTCTTACCTCGGCGGGTGTGGTGAAGGCAGTCTCCCCAATGGCGGCGGTCGCGGCAGCAGCGGCAGCAGCGGCGGCGGCGCTCGCGGCAGTGGCGGCAGCAGTGGCGGCGGCAGAAACGCCATAGGCGGCAGCGGCGGAACCGCCCCGTCCGCACTGTCTAACGGCGACGATACTTCTGTAATAGACAACACACGTTTTAGAAAACGTACATACTTTATTTATATGTATAGTGACTCCATTAAAAGTGGATATTTATAAATTGGAGAAGCTCGATGGCGCAAGTGGTTTTCTTCTCGCAGTGGTCGGTCATTGGATGGGTGACCAAAAATTTACTATCTCGAGCTCCTCCGTGCTTCGGAGGCCATGTTAAGCCGTTGGTCCCGGCTGCATCTGCAGTCGTTAGCACCCACCAATACGCACTGGGCCCGCGTGGTGGGTCATGGCCCAAACTCCCTATTCCAACCATAGGGATGACCTGTGTCCCAGCAGTGGGGACATTAATAGGCGGATGATGATGATGATTTATAAATTAAAATTTTATTTTCAAATGGAAAAGCTGGAAAGAGCACATGTGGGCATTACCCTTTGACAGTCGAAAACAGGAATAAGTGTGTCTTCTTAATTTGAACTTTGAACATGACGACCTGTTGGTGCAACGGCACTCCTTCCTGCGTTTGAATTCCGGAAGATATCACCGCACCGCCCCAGCATCAACCTCACGAAAGGGACGATATCGAAGCACATGTGGGTATTATTTACCCACAGACAGTCGAGACATTGGAATGCGGACGTGCGTCTATACGACCCAAGCTTGCTTGCGTCGATTACGGCGGTAGGAGGACGGGTGACTAGAACTATTTACATGTTACTTCCGTTTCAAACGGGAGCAGCACCGCCCTTGTGTTTGGCCGTAAGGGTGGCAGACTGGACTAAAGTTTTACTATCACTCACAGTCACTATGGTGCGGCGATGCAGCCCCGTCGGCGGCTACAGACACCAGTTTACAGCACAACGTTGCCACTTCATTGCGCACAGTATCGGCTTCACATTTCGTCATTATACTAGCAGTTTATGATGATAGCATCATAGATACTGTGCGAAATTCTAACTCACGATGGCCTCGTCTCTCTCCAAATTTTATACCTATATTACTTTACCACTGGAAAGAAAAACGCTCAACTATAAGTTATTGTTTTGCGGCGATGCGGCCTCGTCGGTAGCAACAGACGTTGCGGCGCATCGTTGTCGCTTCGTCACGCGCAGTATCTAACTCGCATTTAGTTATCGGACTAGATGTCGTCTATCACTCATTGTGGTGCGGCGATGCCATCCCGTCGCCGGCAACAGACGCCAGCTTGCGGTGCAACGTTGCCGCTTCGTCGCGCGCATTATCGGGCTCACTCTCAGCCATTATACTGGTGAAAAGTTGAATACTTTAATGCTTGTTAGGGAAACGCTCAGTCTATAACTATGACTTACTGTGGTGCGGCGAAGCGGCCCCGTCGGTAGCAACAGACGCCAGCTAGCGGCGCAACGTTGCCGCTTCATCGCGCGGTATTTCGGGTTAATTCTCAGCCATTATATTGGTGAAAAGTTGGATACTTTAATGCTGGTTAGGGAAACGCTTAATCTATAACTATGACTTACTATGGTGCGGCGATGCAGCCCCGTCAGCAGCAACAGACGCCAGCTTGCGGCGCAACGTTGCCGCTTCGTCGCGCGCAGCATCGGCCTCACGTTTCGCCGAACGCGCCTCTAACCAGGCAGAGTGAGCGCGAGCTTCGACCTCGCTAACCGCAGTGCGACGCAACGATTCTTGCTCGGCCAATTCCATCGATAAAGCGTCGCATTTCTCCCTATAGAAACGGGGAAATACCAATAATAACGTAGTGTCCGAGTAGTAAAATATTGTCGCCACGTTACGGAACGCTAATGTGACATAGGATTAATTTACAGAATTATTGCCTTTAAACCTAACAGATTTGTACTATAGAAACTAAAGTAGGTAAATAAAATACTTACAGCCGTTCTCAAAAACATTTTTTTTATAAAATAAATTACCCTATTCGATTTCATGATCTTTAAAGCAAGCAGTAATTCTGCTGTTGCACCGGTTGTCACGAAACTAATTTATTATATAGTTTATTTTTGGGTTGAGCATATAGGTACTGCATGCTAGGTTGAGTACGTTGTTATATATAAGTATGAAACAACTTCATTGCAGATCAGACAATTGACACTGACTAATTTAAAATACTTAATAATATTCACACAAATTCCAAATTCTATCAAATAAGATAGTCTTTAATTCAGGTAGGTAAACTTACTTATATCTCTGAAGGTCTTGTTGCAACAATTCAATTTTCTCCACTGTACTAACTGATTCGCCTTGTTTACTCAGCCACAAGGTTTCTTTCGTGCTGAGTTCTCTGAAAGATGAAAATTGTTTAACATGGAATATTATAAAAATAAGTAGTAAATTAAAAATATTTTCATCCTACTATGTAATCCATACTAATATTGCTATAAATGTGAAAGTAGCTTTTTTTGTCTGTCTGTTACGTTTTTATGGATATAACTATACACATATATTGGATCGGAAAAAAAAATCATCTTGCAAAACTGCATCTACCCAATCTAATGTTAAGTGTAACCAAGTGGTAGTTGTAACCAAGTGTAAGTAGAGTTCATTCATGAAGATATTGACTTAGCTGAAAGTAGCGGAGCAAGTAGCTTTGCCTCCTAGATAAGCTATATAAGGTTCTTTAATAAGTACTCACTTCATTAGCTCTGATTCTCGATCCTGGAAGTATTTCCCAAGAACCTCGAGCCTGTTCAAGGCATCGGTGGCTTGCTGGCCAGTAGTCTGCAGGGATTCTTTCGTTACCTGAAGTTCTTCAGATAGGCGTGTGCGTTCTTTGTACTCCACCTAATCATATTTATTAATAAAACTATTAACCGAACTAAATTAATAATTGCAATGCAAAGTTTAAAACATGAAATAGTGAAAAACACCTTTAGCAAAGGACCGCTTCTCTTTAAATGAGACCTTTTGCCAATAGCAAAATTTGAAACTTGAACTGCAAAGTGCAGTAACAATGAAAACATTTGGCGAAGTTTTTATTTCTTGTAGCTACGTCAATAGCCATATGAAAATTTCTGAAACCCAAGTCCATTAATAGATTCTACAATGTATTTACAAAAGTTAGCATATATAGAATTGTTTTTCAGATTGAAAGGGCATTTCAGAGAGCACATACAGTTTCCAAATTTACACAATATTTTTTTAATAACGAAATCAATAAAAAAAAATTAAATAAACAAAGAATGCTGACCTCAAATTTCTTCTCGAAAGATTCCTTCTCTTGCAAGGCCTTTGAGAGTTTGGCTTTTATTTCAGTGTGATCAATGAAAGAGGTAACATCCACATTGGACGAGGCTCCACTCTTCAATTCCTTTATTGCATCCTGTTTAAAATATAATATTAAAAATAAAAATATACTATGTATGAGGAGATCGATGGTGCAGGTGGTAAGCGCGTTTGGCGTGCGATCGTGGAAGTTGTTCGATGTTGAGCAACTTTCTCAATGATTGGTCATTGGATGGGTGACCAAAAACTTATTATCACGAGCTCCCCGTGCTTCGGAAGGCACGTTAAGCCTTTGGTCCCTGTTGGTCTGCAGTCGTTAGCACCTCCCAATCTGCACGGGCCCATGTTGGGTCATGACATGGCCCAATCTCCCTATTCTATCCATAGTGAAGACCTGTGCCCTAGCAGTGCGGACATTAATATAGGCTGATGATGATTGTAGTTTAATCAATGTATTAGCAAATTGCTCCACTCCCCTTTAAGTCAAAAATAGCTGGTGTGGTAGAGGTAGATGTTACATTATACTAGTTGATTTAGATAAGGCTGTAAGCTGGCTTAATTAATAAAATACCGAACTCCATCTGGTAGGACGATAGATATAGCAATATTCGCAATGCAAGTGTAACAACTGTTGTGGCATTGAGTCTATAAGGAATGTAATGCTTCTCACCTTGAGTGCAGTAATTTCATGCCTCTGCAGTTCAATAGTGTTGTTGGCATCTGCCAACTTCTGTGTGATTTCATCAAGTTTTTTGGTCTGCTTCTTAGCTTCATCCAATGCGGTATCAGCTGATACAAACTTCAACTGGTAATTGTCTCGGTCACGAGTCACTGATATCAATTCCTCCTCATAAGCTTGATTCTTTCCTGTGAAAAGAATATTACAGATCAAATATTATTTTGATTATTTACCTCTTTATTAATAAACGTCGAATAAGATTGGATTAGTTACTCTATGTTTTGTTTCTGTTATTTGGATTATAAATGGCACTTGAGTGACATTAACAAAACACGGCGTAACTAGTCTAAGCTTATTCCTCGTTTATTAATAAATGGGCATAAAATTAAAGAGACAAATGAAGACCTAATAAGAATGTACAGACAGCAACACATTAAGTTTTCTCTATAGGCAGTGAATTTTATATCCAGTGGGATAAAGCTCAGTCAGTTGGGTTGATTTGAAAGTTATGGTAATCCAAGTAATGTTATATTCCATACTACTGATTGAACATTGAGTTTGTACTATTAATTTTCTTTGAAGACAAGTCAGAAATGTGGTCACATTCATCAATTTATTGCCCAATTCACATACCACCTGTATCTTCTAGTACAAGATCCAAGGTCTGCCAGACCTCACTTATTTTCTGATGGACAAAATATCTATAAGCTAGTAGTATCTATGTGAATAGTTAACGCATATGCTAACTTGTGCTATGGTCCAGTTCTCAGGTATCAGGTAATGTAAAAATTTTACTCACTTTACTTATAGCCTGATTCTTACGTATGTTGTAGAGAATATTGCAAAGTATTAGTAGTTTTAGTTTTGTTAGTATTTACTGTATTTAGTATTTTAAATATCAAAAGCAAAAATCTGGCGAGCCTGGGATCTTACTCTATTCAATGTTTTTGAATGCTTTTGACACCAAGAGTGTAATAAGTTGTGGGTACAGAAACAGCAGACATCCATTGCGAATATATAGCTGATACGTGGTACAACATACACCTTTACCATGACACCAATATGTGTACAGAAAGTCTAATAGTTCAAAAATAAGCTTCAAACTTTAAAACTATAGTCGCAAACTTGCTATATTGCACACATTATTTTACAAAGAGTTTGCTTCATTTGATGCTTATTTAAAAAGGTTCCAGTTAGCATTATACTTCACACAAATAGAATGTTACTTATCTAAGCTTCGAGGTAACAAATCTCACGGAATTGTGTTATTTGCCTACAAACTTCTGTAAGGAAGAAGCCCTCAATGCCCAGTCAGGCTTTCCTTTTGAGTAAATAGTCAGCTGCAGCGAGAGGTAATATTTTTGTCTACTTTAACATACTTATGTGCCTATAACTTATGAAATTGAATCAAACTTACCATTTAACTCCGCAATTTGCTCTTCATAATTAGCTCTTTCAGCTAAGAGCTCACTAAGAGTATTTTCAACCTCACTCAAGGTATTTTGCAGTTCTCCAGCAGTGTTCTCTGAAACCCTAAGCAATTTCTCATTGTCATCCAATGATTTTCTCAATCGTTCATTCTGAGCTTTCAATTCATCAATTTCTTCTTTCAATGATTGGACCATGTCGTCCTTGCCAAAAGAACTGTCTTCTATGCCAGCAAGCTTCGATTTAGTAGTAGTAAGCTCCTCTTTAAGGATCTCACACTCCTAAATATAAATACTGACATATTAATCAAACATTAAACAACATATTAATCATAATAATGCCTTCTTTACATTTTCAAACATTCCTTGAATGTCAAGTTTTAATTTTAATACTGGTACTTCATTTATGAACTTGATAACAATTTGTCCTTATCATGCTTTATAAGCAATGAAAAGGACAGACTGATATCAAGTTTACAAATAGCAAACACGACTAGACAAGTGAATAGCCAGCATAAGAGATTGGTACCTACAAGACAGACAATAAACTAGGGCTTCTACAAAAAAAAAATAATTTAAGACACAAATTTATTTAATTTAGAGAGGTAGGGCATAGTGGATATTCCGCTCCACTCTAATTGGAACGCCTGTCTGGGGAAGTAACCACCACCTTACAGAAGATAACAGTTTTGGTGGTCTTGTGTTTCTGTCGATACCAGGGCTTCATGGGGTAGGGGATTGATTGGGTCAGGGTAGGCAATGGTGTGAGTGATATTTTTGATATTGCAAGAGTAAATAACGCTTATACGCCACTTTGGTGTTGCTTGAAAATTAACCTAATTTTAGTTTTTATTTAATGTTAATTTTTAAGCAGCACCAAAGAGGTTTATAAGTGATTTTGCTTTTCCACTGTCGATATATCTTACCTTACTAGAAAAAAGTAAGTCCCGTTGTAGAGTGTTTATAGTAGCAATAAGTTTTCCATCCTGTCTTCTGTTGTCAATGTAATAGTAACCTAGTGTGAACAGCAGAACAGACAAAGCTGTGGTCCCAAGAAAGGTTAGGAACCTATTGCTTTTCTCATTTGAAGTACCATCACAATAGTCTTCAGAATAACAGCTTTGGCCTGGACAAATTTAAGATTATTTAATCTATAAGATTATGAGATGAGATAACACTCTCATTTTCTGATACATATAATATGTATGTATTATTGATTTAATTTGTTCAAAGGCAAATTTAATTTGTTACTGTTTAAACAATAATATTACTGCACACACAATATAAACTTGCACAGTTGATGGACTACTTAAATAGAATTTAGCAGTAAAAAACTCACCTCCAGAAGCTAAAATAGCTTTGGATTCCTTAGAAGGGCTAGTAAAAGGGGCAGTGATCAATTTAATGAATGAGAATCCTTCCTCAATATCCTCTTTTTTGTTAATTTTATTTTCTGCATTAAACAAACTTTCTGTTGTTGGATGTTCACTGCTAGAAAGCCAGAGGCCTGATATTATTGAGTATATGTCTGAAAGAATGCTTTTTGTGTCTCCTATTTCTACATTTTCATCTTGAGGTGTTTCGACATATTTTTCTGTAGTAGGCTCAGGAATATCATTTAAAATTGAAGTGATGGATTGGCTATAGTCACCAGTACTTGAGTCAATTGGTTGCTCAGTAAATTGCTCTGGTAAGTTATCACCAACCAAATTATGTGAATCTTCTTGATTATTTGCGACTTCTATTGTTTCATCATCGAGTTTATCAATCATATTCATTTCTTGTGGTGCTTGCGAGGGTGAAGCTTCAGTTGAGTATTGATAAACTCGACTACTATCCGGTATGAAGTGTGGTTCAGGACTCGCATCTAATATATTTGTTTCTGCAGGTGTGCTTGTAGGTGGAGATTCTGTGGAGTAGCGATAAACTCTACTACTATCAGGTATAAAATTTGGTTCAGGACTAGCATCATCTATTTGTGTTTCTGGTGTGCTTGTAGTTGTATCTAAGGATGATTCTGTTGATGATTGAATATTAGAATTGATTTCATTATGTGTATTTGATTCTTCCAGTTCAAGTTTTTGCAACTCCTGATCATCCTTTACTGGAATAATATTTATTAAAGGTATTGTAGTGGGGACATTTTCACTTAAAGGTGATTTAATTTCTTCGTTGGGTGGTGGTGAAGATGATTCTAGCTTAGTATGCAAGTCAGCATCAGAGGTTGGAATATCATAATTTATACCATTTACATTTTCAACAATTTTGCGATAATTATCCAAATTGCTTTCAGTCTTATCAGAGACAGTTTGTGGAGAGTTTAAAATATTGTTTGTTTCAGAAATTACATTAGTCTCAGTAGATTCTTGAATGTGCGAACTGTTATTATCATTAGTTAAAGCATTTGATGTATTTTGTTCGTGTTGTTCAATGGCTTTAGATTCCGATAAAGGTTTTTGCAAATGTTCTTTTTGATTGGTATTATCAACTAAATTCAGTGTCATTTCACTAGTACTTCTAACATCTGATTCAAGTGGAGGAAGCATGGCAACATCATTCTGAACTATTTCATCATTTTTATCTGGAGATGTTTCATCAACTAAATCATTTTGTGCTGTTTCATTTACAACAATAACTAGATTTTCATCTGTGGGTTCAGTATCATCTACCTTGAGACCACTCTCATTATTTTCATTGGTAGTTTCTATGTTATTTAGTTGCCCAGAACTGTCAGAGTTATTATTGAGATTAGTATCAACAGAGATGTTATTACTTTCATCAATTTCATTTTGTGGAACCAGCACTTCAAGAGAGGCTTTCTTTATAGATGGAGTTTCATTTTCATTTAATTGATTTGGAGTTTCAGTATAGCTTTCTGGTATTGTTGCATCGAGTGTTGCCTCTGTAGTAAAAATTGTAGTTCCTTCTATCACTTCATGTGGTTGTTGCACCTTATTTGGCTTCACATTAGGCTGTGAAGTAAGAGATTCTAAAGAAACAACTACTAGGTCAGATTTTTTCTTCAAAATTTTGACTTCTCGCAGAAATTTATTGTTGACAAATCCATATTTTCCATTGATACTAGCAAACCAGATGTCTGAATTATCACCAGCGGATTTCATATACACCAATGCTTCAGCTTTAGCAGGGAAGGACATAAGGTCCGGATCACCAGTATTTACATTTAGAAGTGTTTGAGCTTTTGATATAGGATCTGCAAAGGAAATCAAAAGATAGTAAAGGAAAGTTATTTCAACATAAAAACTGATTGTCATCACAATACAAGTTACAGACCTGTACATTTATCATCAACACAAAGAACTTTGTCAGGCAATCGACAGTGGTAAAGCGCCACAAGTAACATAAATAAAATAAATTTTAACATAATCATTTTCGCATTCTAAATAGATTTTCATAAAAGTTCACGAGACGTTAGGCCACATCATCTGTCAAGTCGCTCGTTCGGTCGAATTCGAGTGTCTGACTGACAGTGACAGAAAAGGAATACATTGTATTTCCGTTTCAGCGAGAGTAAAAGGAGGAAATTTTATTAAATATATTAAATACTTGAGTTTATAGAAATGGCTAATAGAATATAAATTCATTATTTTTTTAAAACACATAATAATGTGTAGTAGTAGTATTAGATATTTAGTAAAATATCCAATGGAAATTGTTTGTAACTTAATGATATTTTACGTGTAACGGAACACAAAGCGTACGTTTCGATATACACATGCATTTTATTACGATTATACACAAAAGAATTAATGTAATTTTGGTTAAGTGGTAGTGACAATTTTAATATATTACAAACATGCGTTGTTTATTAGAATTTTGGTCTTATTAATACACTCGGTATTTATTATTTTAAGCGAATTTTATAAATTCCTTTTTTATATAATATCCCAATTATTACCCATACAAGCACCGCAAGAAAGGAATTTCGAATTGTTCCATTGATTCCTAAAACTGGTTTCCCTACTTTTTATACTTGTAATGGCAAATGCACAAACCGTGCGTGCCAAAATACTGAAGCAATATAGAGGGAAAATCCCCTAAATTTGGGAGGTTTTAAAGCGATGGGAGGATAATTGGGGGGAAAATATTGTTTGGGGGATTAATGGGGATTAGGAATTTGGAAATGGGGAGTTTTTGAATTTCATTAGGGTTCCGTATTTTTTTATATAAAAACCAATTTATGAACTTTTAATCTGTAAACAGTCGGGATCAACAGTCAATCAACAATCTGTCTTTCTTATTCTGTATAGAGCATGATAAGGATAGACTGTTGTTTTTAATTTTATTAGGCTTAGAGGATTATGCCAGAATCAAGACAAGCAAGTCAGTCAGTCGTTAAAGGCAGCTTTAACTGCAAATCGATTCCACACTATCTGTCACCTTTGCTCTGTTACATCGTAATTTGTGAATTTGCCTTTTTAATTGTTTGCAAATTGGTAAAATAACATTGGCATTACAAAAAAAGTTATGTAAGAAGATGATGGGTGCGAAAATGTCGATCCAGTAATGGAATTGCTATTGCAGCAATACATATTACGTAGTAAATAATATAAAAATGAATCGCTGAATGTGTTGCTAAGCGCAAATCTCGAGAACAGCTGAACCGATTTCGATAATTATTTTTTTAGGATATTCCTTGAAGTATGAGGATGGTTCTTACGCAGACAAAAATTAAAAAAAAGCCTTAAAAGTCCAAAAACGACACTTTTCTATACTCCCATACAAACGATTCGTAATAATTAGACTTGCAACGAATAGTATATTCGGCAGTATACCGAATATTCGGCGAGGTCCCTGACCGAATAGCCGAATATTAAGCAAAAGTATTCGGCTGGACTTTAGCGCTAAAAACTTGTACAGAGGTGATTGTTTCGCGCTCCTTTGTTTTGTTCTAATCTGCCGTCCTCCAATGATGACAAAACCAACTTTTAAGATATGGCAAAAACGGCGCGTAAACTTTAAATTATTGCTATTATGTAACCATTCATCACATGACTGAATGAATTAAAACTGTTAACTTGTTAAATACAGAAAATGATTAAATTATGTACCTGTTTTATGTACAAAATGACTACTGAAATGATTATAAAAGAAATGAGAACCTTACCCTTCTAAATTTTGATTAGGTACCACAATAATTCAAATACAGAATCCCCCATTTTTCCAATTCAGAAGATGATTATGTACCCGTGTTATGTACCAATGACTACTTAAATGATTATATAACAGAAATGAAAATATGAATATATACGTAATCAATCGATTTAAAATTTTCATTTTACTAATTATTTCTCTATGACAAAATATATTATTTAAGTATTCGGTATTCGGCCGAATAATATGTAGGTATTCGGTATTCGGCCGAATATAATAAAAGCAGCCGAATACCGAATATTCGTTGCAAGTCTAGTAATAATACTTCAAAGTCAATTTGAACTTTATTACCATACCATAAATTTCAAATGTTAATGGAGAGGTTCCGGGAAGGCAAAACAATTGAGTGACGTGATATCAATAAAAGTTTGGAAAATTCAAATATATCATTTTCAGTATTTTTGAAGTTATACTTCTTTAGGCGCGTTATGAAAAAATGATGAGAGTGAAATTTTAAGATGCGCGCGCATCACTGTAACACAAAAAATTACTTTTGTGTTTACCGCACATTAAGAAAATCTACCAACAAAATAGAAATAGAATCTCTATTTAGTGGGTGCTAACGACTGCATTGTGAAGGCATATCAAAAGTATTTATTAATCTGGAACAACGGAACCAAAGCGCGATTCAGGAGACTACAGCGCCATCTCTTGACCATTGGTGTAGTAGAACCAAAAACCACATCTTTATTTATCAAAAGTATTTATTAATCTGGAACAACGGAACCAAAGCGCGATTCAGGAGACTACAGCGCCTTCTCTTGACCATTGGTGTAGTAGAACCAAAAACCACATCTTTATTTTTCAATGTTACTTTTATGTTATTATTGTAATAAAGTAACAGTTATAGGTATTCATATTTATAATATTTATCCACATGTTTCTAGTTTGTATATTCGGAATACGTGTTTGAGTTTCATACAAGTGCAAATCACATATGTTCTAATAAATTATATTCAGTAGCGATTTTAATTGAATATTTTGATTATTTATTTATTTTTTCAAATTAAAACTGAACTTTATTGACTGTGTCCTTTTCCAGACTTTTTATTAATTTATTGTAATTAATTATTTGCATGCAATTAAATACTAATTTTAAACGATGCCAAAGAAGGATAACTTCTCACGCGCCTACATAAGTACACGCATCCATTTTTTTTTTATAATTGTATGAAGTCATTTTAGTCTACACTATAGCTCTACACCGAAGCGAAGCGAGGGCGGGCTACTAGTTTTTAATAAATATTTTGCATGTTAGGTGGTCTTTTTCTTTAAAAACCTTTTTATGGGGAGATTTCGAATAAGTTTTTGGGGGGAAGACAAAATGACTTTCTGGTAATACTGAGCCAAAAACAAAAAAAGAACTAACCACGCAACTTAGTACGTTGTGTAATTTGTACTTATTTTTAAACAAAAACAAGAATGTTGTGTAAAAATAGATTTTCGAAAATCAGACCACAATTCATTTTTAGAAGGAGGAGGGTCCTTATTCGGCATTTTTAAAAATGTTTTTTACCTCATAACTCTGAGATTTAATGAGAGATTTTTATTATTTATTTTTGTTTGTTTAAGTCAGCAGCCTAAAGCACGAACAACGAAAGTATTATTATCGCCCTCAGCGAGAGAAAGTAACCACTTCGTTTGCCCTTAGATTAAAATATTAACTAAATTTTTTATAGGCATGTACAGTTAAAATTAAGGAATTGTATAATTTAGAATATTGTGCCAGGCACTTCCATACTTTTAATATTATTTATAATAATTGAGTAACGAATTTCCGTTGCAGAACCTACAAGGTTGAATAGTAAAAAAAAAGTTCTATCTAGGTAGGTACCATGGAGGTAAGAGAGAAAGAGAACGGTCGCTGTATAAAATAGTGTCCTAGAAATATGGACAAAATAAGTGAGACGCTGCGATCGCTAAGTTGTCTCAATAAAAACGGGCTGTTGTCCGCTAATTTGAAATGATCTGTCAACGTGTCATATACGTGTATATAATAGTGTTACTTCTGACATGATTCTCTAAACTTAAAACTAAATTAAACATCAAGCTCTCCTTTCCATTCTCTATACAGAAGTGTTAAATTTATTGAAGGAAGGAGGAAAAGGACCACACACGTCGGCGTGTATAATTTTTCGTAGGTGCTTTAGCTCGTTCTCTAGTTCCAAATTTTCTTCGGTGTGTTTTTCTATAATTACATCCAGTGCATAATTCAGAATCTAAACGAACTATAAGACCTAGTTCCCTTTCAATAACTTCTTTGACGTATTTCTTGTTCTGATGGGCTAACCGTTCATGGTAAAGTTGAAGCAGGTTAACTGATGACGCGACGTTCAAATTTGGGGTTGACTGTCTGATAATTTCAACATTGAGTTTGTATAAACCTCCATATTTGACTCTTTTGCCAGTCAATCGTATTTTGCCATCGATTTTCAGTGAACACTGTTCCCTTTCAGATATAAAAACACTGTTGTCTAATCTGTTTTGAGCAGCCAGCACAGAAAATTAATTTCGCATAATATCAGGTACGTACCATACATCACAAAGAGTTCTCTTTGATTCTTCACCATGAATTAACACTTTCAAGTTTACTGTACATTTTCTACTAGCCTTTACAGCAGTTCCATTAGCAACAGTCAGTATACGAGCATCTGCAAAACGTTGAAAACTAGCGAAGTAGTCCTTGCGACAGGATATATGACTTGTTGCACCATTGTCGACTTGTAATATCATCGTCAGACCGCATCGAGTACACTTCTGGCGTTGTAGTGACTTGCAGCAGCATTAGATTGATGTTAGAGTTACTTGATATTGGTTTTGATTCAGGCTTAGATGGTTTACCGTCTGCTTTCCATTTCTGGCATTGTCTGACTTTGTGACCAACCTTTCCACAATATCCACATTTCTTCTTAATACTACTATGTACAATGAGCGCTTCTGTAGAATTTTCATTCTTCAACGAAATCGAGCGTTCGTACCCAGAGAGTTGCGTTATCAGATTTTCTATTTCTACCTACCTTTGACATCAACATCCAACTTGATTTGAAAGGAAAATAATTATCAGGGAGTGTATCCAGAATTTTACAAATTAATAAAATAACTGATAATTCACATTTTTCTGTTTTGACAAGTTCAACTTTCAACTCTGACCAGTGTTTTTATTTTGGAAATGTTGGTTGTAATGTCGTAAGAGAGATATCTTCACGATAGCTGAAAAACTCCATACATAAGGCATAACTTGTGTCTTCCGACGTACCATCGAATGAACGATGTAGTTCATCCCAAACGTCTTTAGATGAGTTGAAATGCATAATTTTCTGTAGGGTTTCATCTGACATATTCGCAGAGTAATAGTAATGCGGAACTATCAATGTGATCGTATTCATCGAGAGCTTTTTGATATTTAGAAAATTCTTCAGCGTATTTAGTAGTTGGCTTAACCGGTTTTTCTAAATTACAGTTAATGGCATCTAATGCACCAGGCATACCTCGTAATAATAATGTGGCCTTGAATTTCCATGTAGTCCAATTTTTCGTACCTTCTGGGTGACCAATATCAATTTTGTAACTTGGTGATTGCATGCAATTGCACGACGAAAAAAATATTGTCTTAACACAGAATGTTTTCCAAAAAATTTTTGCTTGTTACTTTAGCTCTGATTTATTCCATAACTTTTAAGGAACTGCTACCACGATAGAACTATTATCAATAAATTATGAAATAATAAAGTCGGTATTCACATGACAGATCAGAATAATATTTATTAAAATATAAAACAACGGTTGCTATGATACACACATGACGGATTACAAAAATAGGGTTAACAAAATTATAAAGAGTATTTATCAAAAGAGTATAAACTCCTTTAACATAACGCTCTTTTTCATCATTTATTTACATAGCTACGTCAATTGATACATATTTCAAAAACAAACAAAAAAAAACATTAATTTGTAATAACATTATGTCGTTTAGTGATCATATTTCTTTAATTGATTTATCACAGCAATTTCCCTTCGAAATAGGTAATTGAATTAAACAATAATCAATAATCTACCAATTTTTTTAAAATATGGTTTTGGTTTCTTGAGAATGTGGTGTTTTGGGTACCTATATTTTATGGATATGATGTTCACTGACCGGTCCTGTTATGTGGATCATCAATATCATTAGCATATTATTGTCCACACTGCTGGGGAAATAGGCCTTCCCTATTAAAATAAAATGAATAAATAGTAAACACACCAAATAGCCTAAGGCTTGTGTTATGATTATGACTAAGTAAGATAAGGGTAATGTAACGGATAGAAATACATAAAATGAAACACATACAAGTAACTTTTTCTAGAAATATTGGTTTATAAATTAGGTACAAATGCATCGTATTTATCATAGATCAAATCTGGTATGGTTGTTTCTTCAAAATCGAAGAAAAAAAGTAATAGGATACGGTGTAGGCAATGAACGCAAAAAATGATATTCTGTTTTTGGTCCAAAACCTATATATTTTCCAATATCACATTTAACTTTATGTTGATATTGGGTTGATGCTCTGAATAAGGGTTGATGTAGCTCCGAGATGGGGTAAATTGTGTAGGAAAACAAAGACACCATCACTTTTGGCATCTAGCGCAAACTATTGGGAACGCAATTACGAGTTTAGGTTATACGATTAAAATCTTTGTAATTCTCCAGGTTTACATACTTACGCTAAAGCCTATTATGACATTAACTCAATTTTGAAAATAAAAACTACAATTGTAATATTATTCCACCGGATGAGCGATATTTATAAATAAAAGTATATACTTATGTACAGTCTTGTAGTAAGGCGTTCGCCTAAGAAGTAAATAAGTGTGTGGTATGGTAGGCAGATGCCTACCATACCACACACTTATATATTTCCAATCTTGGTATTACATTAATCTTAGCATTTTAATGTTAATAGATGATCAAATCAAGCAAGAGATATGTTTTGGAGAAACCCTTGTGATTAGTTGCGGACATATCGAAGGTGATTTTGAAGATGAATCATCAGATTTAGAGTGGTCATGCCATGATTCGACAGAAACTGAGTTATCTAAAGAAATTGACCACGAATCTTCTATCCAGATAAAACAATATGTTGAAGAGGAATCTATTGCAGAAGAAGTAGGCGAGGACGAAGATGACTTCCACTTTTTCTTTTTTCCTGACTGCAATAAAATATTACCACAAAATAGTAAAGCAAGCCTTATTCTAGTAGACGGCGTACCTAAAATAAATTCAGCTATAAAACCTCCGGTATCTTGCACTTGTGACAAAGATAAGAAGGGTAAATGTGAATGTTTCATCAAATTACCTTGCAAATGTGGTGCAAAAACGACAGCCGAGTGTCTCTGTTCCACACTAAAAAATATTTGTATTTGTGATGAATCGAATCCTCAGCCTGTTTGCACTTGCAAAGGAAGCAAAATTTGTGTTTGTCACCCTGATAGTAAAATTCGACCTAAATGTACTTGTGATGAAATAGCTAAACCTTGCGTTTGTCATCCTGATAAGTTTCCTTCTCCTATATGTACATGCGAGAATAAACCAAAATTCAACCTTAAAAAGAGTATGGAAATCATAGCAGAAGAAGGAAGTATAGAAGGCGTTGAACAAGCAGAAGAAACGAAGGTAATTGAAGCTGAACAAGAAAATGAGCCATGTGATTGTCAAAAACCAGAAACAAAGCCCCCTTGCACTTGCCTTAAAGGACAAGAGTGCACTTGCAAAACTGATACTTGTATTTGTGGGGTACAGCGAACTTGTGATTGTGAACAAATAGATATTCTGGATCCAATTTGCAAAAGCGTAGACTCTCAATCAGTATGTAGTTGTGATATACAAAGGGAATGTCTATGCAATGCTCAAACTTCCGTCGATTGCGAATGTTTCCCTAAAAGACTTTGTTGTTGTGGAGACCCAGAAAAATGTAAATGTTTTGCAATTTGCGAATGTACTGGACCATGTATTTGTGACACAAAATTAGATGTTTCTGAGTGTATTTGTTTAGATAAAGCGAAACAACTAGAAAAAGGTTTGGTTTGCTCGTGTCCTATTCACGGACAAGAGGAAGATCCCATTAAACTTAAAAGAGTCAGAGCAGGAAAGCACGGCTATAGGTGGTGTCATCAGGTTGATCCTCGGCACACCTACTTTGATTATGGTTACGAAAGACACGATAAAATATCATATAAGGTCCAAGAACGCGAAAAGATCAAGATATTGGGACTTCTGGAAAATGATGAGGAAAAATTAGACACATGTCCAGTCCATGGCATAAAAGCTCCTCCGTATAAAAAGAAAGTTCGAAAACCTTCTATTGATTGCTGCAGCTCAGTGGGAGGTAGGGACTTTAAATATTGGCTTAAAGGTAAAAATAAGATTTATGTCATAGGGATGACGACGGGATAAATTAAACGAAATTAAAAACTAATGGACACTTTTTTTTGTCTTTTGTCAATCAACCAAAAAATTGCAAAGGTAAAGCGCATCGAAGTTTGGGAGTGCGGTCTCGTGACGTCACTTCTAAGTAAAAATTGTACGAAGACGTGACGTCATGCGACATTTCAAATCAATATATTCTGCAATGTTTTGATTAATGTGAATAAAGAAAAAAAAGTCTCCAATACTTGTTGATAATCTACCTGATAGACGAAGTAAATAAAGTCAGTCGTCATCCCTATTTTTTGAGTTTCCTAATCATTATTGCTTTTAATTAGGTATTAGTATCAGTGTTGAGACTTTGGGGGAGGACAAAGACAAGTTTCTTGTGCAAGTGGTGTCTCATGCATCAAAAGAAGGTGCAAAAACGGGATCAAAAATTGTGAGCATCTTAGACAGTCAGTTACATACAATGGAAGAAAACAGAACAGAGTAAGATGTTTAATTTTACAGAGTTTGGTGACTTTAGCCCAATTTATGCAATTTGCCAGGATAAAATATTAAATACCAAGTTAGGTTTAGAAAACTTTGGCCACCGTTAATAGTTTGGACTTTTCTATAACACAATGTATTATGCTATTTTTATTTTGAGCATTTAACTGCTAGATGATTATATACCAAGAAAAGTTTACTAGGAAAAATCCACTCGGTCTAGGTTTCATTAAAAAAATGTTAATTTTCTTGAATGCTTGAATGTTTTCTTAGAAATATGTCGTTTTAGTGGATATAGCTCCTAATCCTAGGCGTATTCGTAATGTATGTCAGAATAGATAATTGATACCCAAATCAACTATTCATATTAACACGTCGATAATTATACCTATATTTTCAGGTATATAACAAAGAAAGAGCTTACCAAAGAACGGCGCAGCTATATGACTATCTGCGAAAAGGGTTACTACAACAAAGTAACTCGTGTCTGCGGTGAGCGTGACACTGTGAAACGGTTTTATCACTCTTTTCAAGATTCTCGTAATTTCATTCTCGAAGGTGCCAATATTGTGCTTCTGAGATATTTTGGTATCAGCCGCTACAGAGGAACTATAAAGACCGACTGTGTTTTGATGGATGGTACTATTTGCGAAAGTATTTATGTAAGTATTCATATGGGTTCTGAAAGACGGGTAATAAAACAGTACCTACAGGATATTATATTGACCTCCACGGTAAAGTGATACGCGTTTTATGGAGCTGCCAACACTAAGGACCGGTGTTCGATTCCTGGCTACTTCAATGTATAATATACATAGTTCCATATGATTATGCATTGTAAAGATAGTTATTATTTAGTACAAATTTACTCTCTAATTTACACGGAATTTATACAGGTTTTTTTAATATTATCAATGATATATGTTATAAGTTCTTCTAATAACACGTGGAGTTTGGTTTAATCTCAATAGCCTCGCGCATCATTCGAGGAACGAACCGCCGCTCAGCTGCAAGGATCTGTGTGGTCCCCCTAATGCATGTCCAAACCACTACATTAGATTTGATAGACCACAGATCCTTGCAGCTCAGCGGCGGTTCGTTCCTCGAATGATGCGCGAGGCTATTGAGATTAAAAAATATCCAAAATTCAATAGGGAAGATGGTTGGTATACACCACCAGCTTGGGAACCTATTATACAGGAGATAAAATCCCAACCCCGAGCACACACAGCTAGAACATCAGATACTATTAGTTCTTTTTGTTTGCATAATTTAACCTAAGAATAGGAGATAGAAAGCCTCTCTTGAGTTTGTTTCGCCGGTTCTTCTCAGAAAGGTCTCCCAATTTTGGAACCGGTGGAGTTTACGGTAGTTAGGGTCAAATAAATAAACTCAAAATTACAAAAAAAATATTTTAAATAAAATACTTTATTAAGTAAATTAAATAATAAATTCATACATAGACAATAAAACTTAAAAATCGAACAATGAAATAACAGAACACTCAATAAAAGTCTTTCGAAGGTAGCTCGAAAAATTAAATAAAAGTTTTATTCTGACGACGAAGCCTGTAAAGGCTACGAAACGTCAATAACTAAATAAAGTTTCGTGCATTAACCCGTAAAAACTAGTTTTATATACTCGCATGAATGTAGAAGAGTTATCCCAAATATGTAGTCCCATCCCAATGAATATACTCGTAAGTTTAGTAATTTGATTTGTATGAACAAAGCTAATGCGCACTACAGCGAAGATCGCGTTTTCGTGTTCTATTAGGACGAAATCTTGTTACTTGTATTTGTAATACCTTAGCTACCTTTATTTTGTTAAAATTTCTTTTATACCAAAATACAGAGGTAAGATGGCGAAATTATTCAGGAAAACTTATAGAAGTAATGTTTATTTTTTGTTAAATAGGGAATTTGTAAGTAACTCAAATAAACCTCATTTTATTTTTATATAAACACTATTACTTTTAAGTGGTCCCCTCCATCAATATTTGTTAATAAATTTCTTTTCGAACAAGAAATAATAATATAAAAGTGCGTAAAATTAGCGAGAAATTCAAATATTTGAAACGCTACGAGAGCGGTTGTGACGTAAAAATATATATATCTTACAAGAAACAAACGTGATCTTCGCAGGATATGCCAATGTCAAGGAGATTATAGGGCAAATGCGTAGATGTCAAAGCCGTGTTCCACCTAGATACCGAGTGCAACTTTTAACTATGACATTGAAATTTTTATTAAAAATGTATGAAACATAATGTCTATTAGATTAACAAAGGGGAATGCAAAATGTCAGAATCTTGTAAGGTCATTGACCTTGTTTGAAGGTTTATATGTACCGTGACGTCACATCCAAGCGTTCCAAAATAGCGGCCGTTTAAACTGGCAAAGTGGCTATTTTTATTATGTTTTAGACAATATGCTATTTTTTCGACGTAAATTTTTGTTATACTGTATAAAGGGCACGTTCACTACTGCATTAAAATATATATAAAAAAAAATATATATATATGCAATGATACATTATCGACACGGAAAGTTTAAATTTAGTTTTACTATGTTTTAGTTAAAACATCAACAATTTTGGTTATCCTGATTTTTTTTAACTTTCTATGTAACAAATAAATCATCTTTTCACTTGTACTGCATTGAAAATTAGTCAAAATACTTTCAAGTTCCAAAAATAGACGTTTAAAAATTACGATTCCTTCCAGAAAAAATTGATTAGCTCTTAAATGTATTATTTACTTCAGAGACGGTGGAAGACAGAGATTTAGAATATTATGCCTGTATTTAAAGCATTGCATTGTTTTAGTATTTACTGTGAGTTATTCTCAAATTCTCATTCTTCTCATTACTTAATGGAAAATAAACAGTGTGGTGTAAATTCTGCTCAATCATAAAACAACTCTACAATAAAATCCTTTTCGTGTGGTGTTTGACTAAACAATAGAATTATTCTTATTATTGCCTTCCTTTGAAAAACCAACATTTACTGTACTTTAGGTATGTCTTGGAGTGAGTCAAGCTATAGTAAATGGGAAACCTTTGTTTGTGGTGAAAGTGGAGCGACATATTATAGAACCTTCGGGTCTTTTTCACCAGACCCTGACAATTTTGACTCTGAGAGGTATTCATTCATAATATACTAACAGAATTTTAATATATTATTAAACTAACTACACTCTAAGGCGCCTTTCTCACCGGGTCGGTGCGGGCTCGTTTCATTTTCGTTTCTGTACCGAATCTGTACAGACTCTTTTTCCACTTTACTCTTTGCCCAGTGCATATAATATACATAATTAAATGAGAGCTTCCTCACCAGAATTTTCGGTAGTAGTTTCGGTACAGAATCATTACCGAGCCGATACACAACTGTCTGTATAGCGTGCTTCCGAATGCTATTGAGCAATTTGTCTCGCCTGTCCCGTCGTTTCCGCCAACAAAACCATAGCAAGCATAACGAAACAATACCGCATCGAAACTGAACCGGCCAAGAAGTGGTCCTCGGTAATCTGTACAGATTGACACCTTGTGCATTGTTTAAAAATATTTAAAACGAAATATAGGTATAATCTGTGCGGAAAGAGAATGGGATTTAGATTGGAGGGCGCTGTAGTGCTTTTCTACCGTATTTGTAAGGTTTTACCCCTTTTAGACATGATCAAATACAAAAAAACCGCAAGAAATCACAACAACAAACAAATCCGTATCAATAAAAAACTTTGACGTTTTACAGATTGCAGGGTTTGATTGCCAAATAAAAATCTTAATGTTAGTTCCGTTTTTAGCCACGCCCGTTCTCTTTCCGCACATACTCTACTTTAACTATATTATGATAAACATAATTTATGCAGGTTACACTGTAAGCCATGAATGGGCTGACAATGCGTATATGTTGCATATAAATCCACTCTTACGCATAGTTCCTGAGAAGGATGAGATTGAGCCGCACGCTCCATTACGAGAGAGGTGGCGTGAAGATCTGCAGCTGCTCTCGGATTATTTGGACTTTAAGGTACATTCTAGTTTCAAACAATATCATCATTGATGTAGCTAAGGATTTTTCCTAAGGCGGGCAGTCATCCAGTTGTAGTAACATTCTTCCTTAAATTATTTGAAACTGTATAGGTAGTAATTTTTCAACACTAATTTCAGGGTGGTTAGAGAGGTTTCTAGAGTTTGCATTGCCTGCCCTTCCCCGTCCTAGTTACACCCATGAATATTATATACTTTGCAAGATGCAACTATGATGCATATAAAATACTTATGAGAGGAAGCGGGCAATGTTTTTTCCATCGACTGATTTGTCCTTGATTTTTCTCACTAAAGAAATGATTTTCATAGATAAAATATAACTTAACTCATTCCTATGTCTTGCTTTTTTTGATAATATCTGATGTTTCAAAGAAACAAGAAGCCCCCAAAAATACCAGAATAACATAATTATCTAAAGACGTCTAGTGTAGAGATTCAATAAGCATTTGCAAAAGAAAAACATAGAGGCCTAAACATAACTACTTATTATTCTATGGGTAAAATTTATTTTACATATTTTATCTTTCGTGAAGCGTTTCTTCTAGACGCTACTGATATTGAATGGTCGCCTGGTTTTTCTGCAGCATCTGTGGATGAGCAGGTGACCAATTTTAATACATTGGTCATAAAATTATATGACAAGCATGCACCTTTTGGACCCGTTAAATTAAAGCATATTCCTGCTTACGCATGATATAAAATTATTAATGCACAAAAAAGCTTCTGCTAAATGTAGGTATAAATGTCGGCCAAGTGATCATAACAAAGAAACTTATATCAAAATTCGTAATCGCTGCAATAAGGTGTGTAGGGATGCATTACGTCGTCACATTCACAATTCTGTCAGTATTGAAGACTCTCCAAAAGTCTGGAAATTTCTAAGATCGCTCGGTATTGGAAAATCTAGGTAGGACTCTGGTGCTCCTAATATTAACTTAGATTCTCTAAATACTCATTTCACTTCTTCTACTGGTATCAATACTGCTGTTAAAATTAACACTCTTAGACAACTTTCAACCAAACCAATACCGAACTTCTCTCCCTTTGTTTTTGTTCAATTAACGGATTGTGATGTTAAGACGAGCTTACTTTCTGCTACTTCTAATGCCTATAGCATTAGCTCGTAAGCTCGTAGTAGTAAAGCTCGTAGTAGTAGTAGTAAGCTCGTAGCGACGGCATAAGTCGTAATATGTTAGTGCCAATTCTTGACATTGTCCTTCCTGTCATAACATTCCTTTTTAACAGTATTATTTCCAATGCTTCATTTCCTTCTGCTTGGAAAGATGCCCAGATTGTTCCGTTGCCTAAAGTACGTAACCCGAAAGTTCTTTCCGAATATCGTCCTATATCCATTCTTCCCTTTTTATCCAAAGTGCTTGAATGTCTCCTTCACAAACAAATTAATAATTTCCTTAAACGCCATAATCTCCTAAATCCTCTTCAATCGGGCTTTCGTCCTGGCCATAGCACTGTCACTGCCTTGGTCAAGGTTACTGATGACATCCGACTTGGGAAAACAGTTGCCTAACTGTGCTAACATTTTTGGATATTAGTAACGCTTTTAACACTGTCGATTTTGATGTTCTTGTAGCCGTATTACGCTCTCTTAACATATCTACAACGGTAATTGGCTGGTTTCACAGTTATCTGTATGGACGTAGGCAGCGTGTTCGCCTTCATGACAAATTCTCGTCATGGTGCGAGACGACTGCTGGCGTTCCACTAGGCGGTGTATTATCTCCTGTTCTTTTCGCAATATTTATTAATTCAATTTCTATTAACTTATCTTCTTCCTACCACCTTTATGCAGACGATTTAAAGATATATTGCCAGGCTTCACTTGAAAAAATTGAGGAAGCAGTTTTTTAAACTAATGTTGATCTGTGTCGAATTGCGGAATGGAGTAAAGCTTTTGGCCTTAATGTTAATCCTATCAAAACTCAGGCCATGATAGTCGGTAGCGCTAGACTATTATCTCAAATTAACTGGACTACTCTTCTTAAAGTTAATTTCGAAGGAACTGACGTATCTTATAGTTCAACGGTAAAGAATCTCGGAGTGATAATGTATAGTTCATTAAGCTGGGAGCCACAGCTGCAAGCTGTAAGTCGAAAACTGTATGTGTCTACTGGTTCGTTAAGAAGACTACGTAATTTTTTACCCACTACCACTAAAATTATGCTATCTCAATCTCTAATGCTTCCAGTCATAGACTATGCTGACGCCTGCTATCTAGATCTTACGAAGGACAAGCTAAATAAACTTGAGCGTCTTCAAAACTTCTGCATCAGGTTCATATTTGGTTTAAGAAAATATGATCATGTTTCCCAGTTTCGTTCTCAACTCAAGTGGCTTCCAATTCGTCGTCGCCGGGATACTCATATACTTTCCCTTCTTTACAATGTGTTGTTTAATCCCTCTTATCCCAATTATCCTAAAGAGTTTTTCAGTTTTCTCCACTGTTTCCACTCTGTCTTTACGCTCATCAGAAAATTTGAGCCTTAAAACTCCATCACATAATACCACCTTTTATAAATATTCTTTTTGTGTTCAAGCTGTGCGCCAAACCCAAAAGAAAAAAAAGAGCGCGAGGCATTTGAAAACCTCAGGCGGCTAGAAATAACAAAATGAAATCGTAAGCGTTTTCCAAAGCATTTCCGTTAGGCAAACTTTGCAAATTTTATACGCAATTTTCAGCGTTAGCTACTGTTTTCCGTATTACACGGTATTTGCTAATGCACGACAGTAATAGATTTTTCAAATACCTATATCTCAAATGTCTCTTAGCTCGCGTCCGCGTTTAAGGGCAAAACCACAACATTGCGTTGTGGTGTCGCACCGTAGAAATGTGGGGACTATGAAACTATAATAATGGCAGCTGTCCCGATGGTCTCCTTCTAATGGCCAGATTCCATCCAACTCCAAAACAATATCCCAATAATATCACACGGTGAAAGATAGCTTTGCGGACTGTCCATTCTTATATTTAATAAAAAAAAAAAATGCTGTGTTACATAGCCAAATTACTACATAGACAATCCTATCCAATTTAACTGTTCTATACAGTAGACACATCTTATGTATGCAGTGTTCGACTGCCAAACCGAGAACTGGAATAAGGTATTAATTTACTATGATAGTATTAACATCGAATGCTAGTATAATCCTCATGGCTTAGCACGTTAGGCTCTATTAAATGACCAAATGGAATACCTGATATAATCAGGAAATATTGGCTCCGAACCTGAACTCACACAGGACACTGTTATGAGTAGTTGTTAGTGATAATTATGAGCTTTTGACATATTCTAGATACCAGTCCCTATACTACTACATATTGGTATAAACTTTAATTATAGTAAATTAATATATTGTTTAAAATTAATTAATTAATAAATTAATTCGCGTCACCCTTCAAAACTGAAGTAAGTCTAGATGTGACATAATCGAAGCTCAATTCAAAGAGTTTACTCCTTCCCCAATACCTTTGATTTCACATTCAGGAAAAAATTTAAAAATCAAAAAACCCGACTGCAAGAATATTACTTCATATAAAAACTGAAAATAAAAAAAACAAGTCCAGTAGTCTATAATTCTGTTAAGTAAGGAACAAAGCTACTTTAACAGTCGGGACCCATTATTGAAAAATTTTATCCATTCTTGAATATCTAATGGGTCCCGACGGTTAAAGTAGCTTTGTTCCTTACTTAACAGAATTATAGACTTCTGGTTTTTATATAAAGCAATATTTTTGCAGTCGGGTTTTTTTCGCCTAAGTTTTATCTACGTTTATAAACACCCAAATTAAATTTCTTCTCTAAGGCGCGTATTATAATTAGATTCTCAGTAATTAATCTAGTCTTGAGCATAGTTAGAAAGGGATGTCACTACATATAGCACATAGCGACATCCCTTTCTAACTGTACTCAAGTAAAGATTAACACTTAGTTGTCATTCTGTAAAACGGGCCTTAGTATTCCCGCAGTCTACTCCTACATAGTACACCGCGCTATCACTTTGTCCACGCTGTAACTTTTTAAATATTTGTCGAAATGACATAGCATAAAAGGCAAAGTTTATCGTCTTTAAATATCAAAAGGGATAAAAGTATTTTTTATTTTTTTAATTTATTTATTATATTATAAGAAATACATTATAATCTTAAGTGTATAACATTGTCTCATAAACCAGTATTGGTTTTCCCGGACACTGCCGTTCGCCATCAAGACCCGCAGGTCCCGTCTACTCATCAACAAATAATAATAATAACAAATTTAAGTTAAACCATTCATTCATCAGACATTAATCGGTAAGGTAATGTTATTAATATTTTTTTACATGTACCGCACCGCCTTTAGTGGAAAGCTAGGTATCTGTTGGCCAAACACCGCGCAGAGTAATACATCAAAAGAGTGGAAAAACACTGGCTGATTTCGTGTTTCATTTTTTTTTGTTGAAGTGAAACTTCTTTATCGGCGTTGGAAAAAAAATTACCGTCACATTTTTCGGTTACGCGTCACATTTTTCCGTTACGCGCCATCTTTTTTATATTAATTGTCGATAGCTGAATGATCACACTGTCGCCGGCGAGAACTCTCTCTACTCGTTTGTAGCTGAGTGACAATAGTTATTAAAGACTCGCTCAGCCAAACTCGCATAGCGATACTCGCTCAGCGATACTCGCTCAGCGATACTCGCTCAGCGATACTCGCTCAGCGATACTCGCTCAGCGGTACTCGCTCAGCGGTACTCGCTCAGCGGTACTCGCTCAGCGATACTCGCTCAGCGATACTCGCTCAGCGATACTCGCTCAGCGATACTGGCTCAGCGATACTGGCTCAGCGATACTGGCTCAGCGATTCTCGCTCAGCGATTCTCGCTCAGCGATTCTCGCTCAGCGTTACTCGCTCAGCGATACTAGCTCAGCGATACTCGCTCAGCTATACTCGCTCGGTTAAGCTGGCTTGGCTGTCAAAAGCCGTGCGCGTGCATTTTAACTCAGGACTGCCAATTCGTTTCTAGTTTCTACTCGCTTATCGTTCTTCGTCGGAGGTGGAACATGTGCCTTAGATTACTGAGCCGTGTAATCATAACAGTTTCATAGGCAGTAATTTGTATTCATGTCTATGATAATAAAATCCTTTTGTTTAAACTTTATCTAATTTAACTTTATTTAACCAATTTCTGAAAAGTTGCATGTAGATCATTTTTCGAAAAATAAGGCCATAAAGAAGTTTCACTTCTTACGTGTGTACACTAGTACACGCACACAATTTTTTTTATTAATTTATAGTCAGGGAACGTAGGCCTATAGATAGATACCTCAAAGTCTAACATATATACAGATTATAATGGAGGAGGTGTTTGGCGAAAAATGTATGGCAATAGACTTTATGATGTCGCCTACCATCTATAATAATTGTCTGAGCACATTTGCATCTAGTGAAAATGATAATATAGGTGTGAATATTAATACCACAGTGTAATAAAAAAATGATTTATTTTATCGATCTTTACAAATTAGATTTGTTTTTATGTTATATAAACAACTTCGATCAGTCTTTGGCTGAATGTTACTACACCCATAGCCATTAAAAACGATTCGTATGTTTTCCAAACCGGTAAAATTAAAAGTCCTTTTTAAAGTAAATATATTATACAAAGGTGTCCGTTGAAATCTAATAACTGTAAATTAAATTATAAATTACGCCAAGAATTATCGTGTATGTCAATATTTTTTGTGTATTTAGGCCAATTTGAGCAATCTCCTTTAATCAGCTTTCACTTTTGTCAAAGTCTCATGTCGCTAGGATGCATAGTTTCCAAGATATATGCGAAAAACCTAAAAATGGGACCTTCAATTCACTTCAATGAGTAAAATTCTAAAAGTATACATTTTTATTTTCATGTACATAAATTCGAATTCAATAAACTTTTTTGTGGCCAGGATTCTAAAAGCAAAGTTTTTACTGTGTGACTACTTATGACCTGACTGTATAAGTGTGTTCCTTTGTGGCACACCAGAGACCAAGACCGAGCTCAGCGATACTCGCTCAGCTATACTCGCTCGGTTAAGCTGGCTTGGCCAATATTATATATAATATATATATATATATATATATATATATAATATATATATAATACTAATATACCCTGAGAATTCCGAATATGAAATTAATTTAATTAGAAATATAGAATACAACGCAGTCTTGTAATCGAATTTTAGTTAATAGTTTTGTAAATAATTTCTGTACATAAATAAACTGAATTTTTTTAAATTTTCAATCGTATATTCGAGTTGAGGAGAGAAAAATACATTAGTTTAAAAAAAAAAATTATTCTACGTCAATTTTTAAAAAAAAATAAAATCGTCCAAAAACGAACATTTTTACTAACGATTTTTTTCTACTCGATCGATTCCTCAAAATTCTTGGTGAATCGAATCACCTGAATTTTTTCCCCGCTGTGCGCCTTCTGGGAAAGACGGGACAGGCAAGTACTTTTTTTTCGGAGATTGAGAATTGTTGCTAAAGTTTGCGACACAGGTCGATAAATTTTACATGACTCTCTTGGGAGTGGCGTTACCCACATGATAAACTACTTTAGAAATCAAAATGTTTATTATAACATGTTGAATTGTTGCAAACGTAAAACCGACATAATTGCAATTTACTGCTAAACTAACAATCTCACGTTATTTTTTCATAGAACTGATTTTGTAGAGGGCAAGCTAATGAACAACTTTGATTCAAAAAAATTTTCAAAATCCCCGTTTTCAAGCAAAAAAACTCAAAAAAACCGTTTTTTTTTTGTTTAAACAATTTTCCTGGCTACAAAACACGGGTTCTAGCGGGGACAAATGGAGGGCATATTCGTGGGGGTCTATACTACCTAGGAAAAAATTGGCTAAGCGCTGGTGTCTTAGAATAGAAGTCGGTCCAAATTATGGACTGGAATAGCTCATTGTAGTTGTGTTGGTACTGAGTTTTTATCTTTTCTGGCACTATAGTTTTAAGAATTCTTAACTGAAGCTCTTTTATCGAATCAAGATGCGATTTGAAGGTTCGACCGTAGCTACTCAGGCCGTAATGTATTGTACTTTCACCGAGTGCCTTATACAACTGCAATAGTGTTTTATACGGAATTTTGTTTTTAACAATAGCAAACTTAGCCAGTATCGCCCTTAGTTTGTCGCATACATTGTATATATGTTCCGTCCACTTAAATCGCTCATCAATTGTTAGACCGATATTTATTTTGATAAAATATAATTTGTTAATACAAAATGTGCATTTTGGAAATAGATATCAAATAATATTTTAGTTTTGATTCACTATTTTAGCGGTAATGGCTTACACATTAAAAATAGATATATGGTGTCACGGACTTTTTTGTAGAACTATTAAGTTGACACATTTTCACTGTACATTACATTCATGTAACTTTTATTGTTTTTGCAGTACAAAAATACAAAATACAAAATAAGTTTATTTCAGTAACTTAGCCTATTACAATGTATGAGTATGGTACATCCTTTTAAGCAGTAAAATTGCTTGTGTTAGGATGCACCGCTCTTCTATAGCTTGGTTACAATAGGCCAATTAACAATCCGCCATATATGTATTTATATTATTTTATAGTTTAAATATATAATGCAGTGCAGGCCAAAATGGCTCGCAGATTTTTTCCGTCTTACGTGACACTTATTGTTATATTTTGGCCAATTCACTCAATCACTACATAAATTATTATATATATGTTATTATCTTATATGAGCTATATTATTGTTAAGTTTCATTAAAATCCATTCTGTATTTTTTAGGTGAAAGAGTAACAAAGATCCGTACAAACGTAAGATTTAAATTAAAAGCGCAAGTGGTTAATATGCAACTTTAAAGCGTTGTAGATCCTAAACAATGATATAAAATGAAAAATGGTGTTAGGAACCTAAACATGATTTTTGATTATCTAGACAATGATACTCCACTCGACATATTTTGTCAACTTATTTTTTTTACTTCGTCACAATATGGCGCCTATTTTTCTCCATATTGAATTTTGATTACTATCATATCTTTAGTAGCACTCCCATGATTGAGACGAATCGATTGATGTATGAATCATCAAAATCGGTCCAGGTGTTTGGTCTCTAGTGTGCCACAAAGGAACAAACATACATATATAGACTGTTAAACACTATACCCTGTCTGCGCGTCGCGCTTCGCGCTCTTGCATTGCGCAGTCGGGTAAAAAGATTATAGCTTATGTCGCTCCCAGGTGAATGTGATATACGAAGGAATGATATGAGCCATCACTTTGTCAATAAAAAGCCATCTTTTCTTTCTAGGGTACCAGGACATCGGATGGGGCACGATATATGGAGGAAAACGGTGTACTAACTGGGACTGTTCGTGACTATCTTCAAGCTTTGCTTTTGCTTCGGCCCAGCGACGCTTTGCACTTCACAAGACACTATTTCGGATCAGCGCTATCTTCATTAGATCTGCCGCACGATGAATACTTTGATCCAACCACAAAACATGTGCGATATTACTTTTTCGAGCAATAATTCAATGTCTTCTTCAGTCGTCTTCCATTGCAGTAACAATCTAATAAATAAAATTCTCGTGTCACAGTGTTTGTAAAAAAACTCTTACGAAACGGTTTGACCGATTCTTATGATTTTTTTGTGTACATTCTATAGGTCTAAGAATGGGACGTAGGTTCACTAATTTACATACTCTTAGGTTGGTTCATCTCAAATTTTTTTGGTCAATTTTATAGGCCAATCTAGAAAGTTCAATCTGTGTTTTGGCTTGCAGGGCCTTTCCCCTATTTTTAGTATTGCATTGCACAATTTGCATATCATTGCTACGAGCATAAGTGACGCATTTTTTCACGCAAAGTAGCAGTTAGCAAGGCTCTTTGTAATTTTAGCCTGAGCCTAAAAGATCCCTAAATATTTCACATGGTTTAAAAGTAAATAGACCAAGATCGCACAAAGAAAAGGGCCTATTAATCTGTTTGTTTGTGACATGTCATTTTGCTCATAAAAGGTTGAATAATGTAAGCACTTGGGTCAAATCATTGTAGATTTTGACCTAAGCATTATATATCTACCTATGTCAGTTTTCCAATACATTTTGTATGCAAGCTTAAAAAATAATTATTATTGTATATTGAACGTACAAAGTACTACCTTACTGAGCCATTATAATTAAAAAAAATATGGTGCTACGCGTAGCTTACTCACTACATATTAACTTTTTCACAACTCATCAATCAATTTCTTAATTTTTATCATGATAACGTTCGTCTGCTATTCAATTATATATTTTACATATTTTGTAACTCATTTTGTTGACATAAAATATAACGTAACTACTTTATATCATTTATTGACAGTCTTATTAAAGTTAAAAAGTCAAAGTATATACCTATACATGTTTTTATATTTGGTAAAATTGATGCTTGTTTATAAATTGTGCAAAGTAATTTAAAACGCTGCTTGATTTTTCATAGTATCTACGAAGGTATATATAATTGGTTATTAAAACAGGTAGTTTGGTAACATACTCAAAATACTAAGTAATAGAAAACGTAAAGGACTTCTTAGATAAAAAATAAAGATATTAGAATATTCCAGCTGGTTTGAATATGGCTACTGTTACTGGTCTGTAAGCGTGTTATACAAATATAATAAATGCTGAAAATCGGAAAAAACTGTAAGGTTACCTGTTTGAGTTTTTGATCTACTTGTACTACTGACTGTATACCTCTAACGATAACTTCAAACAACAAAATAAACGTAACTTCTTTTATTGATTACATTGTACCGAGTGCTGTGAGTAATGTAATCGAAACTTGATGCCTTACCTAAACTTTATTTTTAAATCATCATGATGTCGTGGTAATTACTTGCATTTTCTAACAGATGGTGGTGACTCGAAGAGGCTCAAGCTCGAACTTTGACACATCAAATTCGAGGTCAAATTTTGTAGGGAAGAAGCCAGTTTTTTTCTTACGTCCGGAAGGGGGCACTGCATAATTTCAATAGAAACTTTGACGTTGGCGATACGAATACGGAGCTATCAAAGTTCGTGTTTGGGGTACAGTTTCACATTTACTAAATACGATCGAGTTAGGTACATATTTAGGTCCATTGCAGCAATTTCGCTAAACCTCGATTTTTCTTATACTAGATTTAGCCCATACAAGAATGAAAAATAGGCATTCACGTTTTGTCATTTTTGTATGGGTTAAACCTAGATAGAGTTAAATCGAGATTAGCAAATTTGTTGCAAGTGGAACTTATTTGTAGTAAAAAAAACTTCAGCATTATGTGGACAATCTCAGCTCATGCTCAGTGAATTAACGAATGTAAGCACGAAACAATATCGAATTCGAATAGTTTGCGAGTGCGCAATTTCATTGTCAAATTTTGTATGGAAACTTAAACAGCAGCGCCATAACGGATAAACGAGAACTAAAAATCAGTACACATTTGACAATGACATTTCGCACTCGCAGACTATTTGAATTCGATATTGGTTCGTACTAAGGGTACAGATTTTCCGTCCAAAAGAGGGTGTTTATGAAAATTTACGTCACCAGTTGGTGCAAATCAACTGTGGCATGAGGTCTTTTGTATGAAGGTTTTGGCGCGAAGTAATCGAATGAGCATTAAAATTTATCCATAGGCTATTACGCCATACGGGATTTGACGGATGAATAGACCTTTCGTACTGCCACCTGGCGTCTTGTCATTCCAGCAAATCCTCTGGGGAAGTAAGCTCTAAGTTATAGAAAACCACAGTGGGACAGATATTGTATTTGGAGTTTTCGTGGCTTCATGAGGCTTGGGTTGCTTGGCTAGAGCGCCAGTATATTCTGCCTTGCTTGCGCCTTATATCAAAAAGGCTAGGTAAGTATATACTTAAATATATATCCACGGATATACAGGGTGAAATTGAATGTTTTAATGAAACTTCGTGGGAATGTTGGGTTACGTATATAGAGTATCTCTGAATTTTTTCGGATTTTTTATAAAATGATTTAAAATAAAATTTAGTTTTTTTTTGTTATATTTTAAGTCCTTTCCTCCTTTTGGGTACTAAATAATTATTCTTTTAAAACATGCATACACAGTAAGTAAAAAACAAGTAATAAGCACTACTAAAAAAGACGTAAAAACAGGAGACGGGCGGCCGGGAGCAATGACCGCTCCCGCCGTTGAATACCTTCCTGCCTACCTATCTAGGTATGCGCGGTGCACAGCGCAGTGAGCGAGCGGAGTCTCAAGCGCGCGTGCGTACCTTTTAAATTTGTGACAAGACAAGATTTGCAAATAATGCCTTGATTAGTTCTTGTTCTGTGCCCTCAATATAAGAATTTGGATATGGTGTGTTGTTATTGCGAGTGTCACGGAATACTCAGCAGAGCCACAAGGCTTTACGAAAGTAGGTTTGGTGATTTATTGGGAAGTTATAGAGAAAAAAATTAATAGGTACATCGGTCTCGTAAGTACTTTTGAATACCTGGTAATAAATTTCATTCTGACCCAAGTATTGAACTGCAATAAGTATTTCTTTTTGTTTAACTTTTGCCTATTTCCAATAGTGACAAAATTATTATTAACTTTTTAAGTTTTTCTCTGCTTAAGAGAAGATGACATTTGTGCTTATTATTTCAATTTCAATAAAGGCATCTGAGACGATTTTATTGTATTGTGTGGAATCAAACGAGTCAGCTGAGCTCTGTGTACGTACCTACTCACTCAACGGCTGGCGGGCGCGGTCGGTCGTTGACCCGCGGTGGAATTTTACTGTTTTTCCGTTTTTTAGAAGTGCTTATTTATTAGTTGTTTTTCACTGGATATGTAAGCATGTTTGTTTAATATGAATAACTACTCAAAAGGAGGAAAGGACAAAAAAATACACAAATTATAAATAAATACATGAAAAAAAATACTTCAAAAAAATCCGAAAAAAATCAGGCATACTCTATACTCGTAACCCAACAATCTCACGAAGTTTCATTAAAACATTCAATTTCACCCTATATACAGGGCGTCCCACGGCTACCTCACACGGAGGGAAAGTATATTAAATATAGAAGATAGGATATTTTACTGAAAGAAGACATCATTTAATTTTTAATAATAACTAGAACTACATTTTCAGATTTTTTAAAAATCGCCTGTTACAACTGGGAATCAAACTCGTGAAATTTCGAAAAAAAAACACGACATATTTTATGATAACCATTGAAAGGGTTAATCATAAGGATTATGTTTTGCTAAATAACATAACATTTTAAATGAAAGGAATGTCTTATTACGTGATAAAAATAATAGTGTTGTTATACAAACTGTAGTACGTATGCATTTCTTTTTGAACTCTCAGTTACAATGCGACTGACAGAAATTTATAATAATAATAATTCGAAAATGGAACACATAAATTTTCATTTATTTGCAACAGATGAATTCTGAAAACACCTAACCGCTTGCTTAAGTCCATAAAAAGCTTTGTTTAATTTACAAACATGATTATTAGAACTTATTAAACAGCTCTCATATAAAAATCCTTTAATATCCCATTCAAAAACGCAGTTTTGACATCCATATGATGAATTAAAAGATTAAATTGGTTTGCAAAGCTATTAATAAATCTAAAACTTACTATTCTGGCGACAGCAAATGCATCCTGCAAATGTATCCTGGTAATCAACTAATAAAAAAAATATTCTTGACTGAAACCACGCGCTACAAGGCGTTCTTTGTATTTTTGTGGTTTTCCAAATTTATCATGTTTTATATTAAAGATCCATTTACAATCAACAATATTTTTATCACTAGGTGTGGGTACTAAAGTCCAGGTATATTTTGCTAGTAAGGAATTTAATTCTTCCTTCTTCCCACATATCCTTATCATGAAGTGTTTTAATTTCATCGTAAAACTTGGCAGGTTAAAAAAAACAGATCGAGCACTAACTTAACAAATAGTCAAAATTGTAATCCGTCTCTTTATACGATACTGAGGGACGGTTTTAAGTCTATCACTCCTTCTTAGGTTAATAGTTTTATCAGTACTATTTTTATTGTGATAATTAGAAAAAGAATTAATGGCATTATTATCAATTTTTCGAATTTTATTTGGACGCTCAAGGTCATCAGGTTTATTACTGTCAGAATTTTGAGAATTTATGGACACAGATTTAGACACTCGGTCACTGTTATCTGTTATGTCCTGAGTATATTTAACACTATGCTCTTTTGCCGTAAATCGAGGCCATGCTTGATAAAAAAATAGTCTCATCAACACAACGTGCCTGACAGTAACGAATCTTTCGCCATCTGTATTCCAAACTTTGTATCCGTTTGGTTCGTACCCTACCCTACCAGTATACCTATCCATGATTTTTCATCAAACTTTGCCTGACTGGTATTATTATATTATTATATATTATTATTTTATATACACAGTCGACCCAAAAATTCAGGTTCTTTTTTCCATGCCACATCTCAAATGGTGTTTTAGATTGTTTCAAGGCCCTTGTAGGAGTAATATTATTTAGATTTACTGCAGTTATAACTGCTTCTCCCTAGAAAACTATCTAATTTTGCACAATGAATCATTGACCGAGCCTTTTCAGTTACATTTTTAACCTTTCTCCCTGAAACACCATTCTGTTGCAGCGTTCGTGGTGTAGATAAGTGGTAAGTAATTCCCTTTTCAGAACTTAAGTTTTTCATTTCGGTAGATAAATACTCTCCACCGTTATCACAGAAGCAATTTCATATTAAAGGACAATGGGCAAAACGCACCCAGCTCCGCCAACAATGTAATTAGTATGAATGTATGTTCTTTATTATGACACCGAAAATAAATATCCTGGGAGTCAATAGATATGACACATGGGCTTAAGTAGCTGAATAAATTCATTTTATATTAGTACCTTCATTTTATATTATTAGTAATCATAACAAAGCACGACAAAGCCTGCCGACCATCCTACGCTTGCTCTTACTGAGACATTTCAAAACGGTTTACGGATGATGAAGGACTTGCAGTTGCAAATAGTCGACTCGTCTTACTTCGTTGTAATTGTGCGCTTCCTGACACTTGATTGATTTTTATCTAACACGCTTCGGATGTTGGAACACGATTATCGGTTTTGTCAATTAGTATGGATGAACTGGAATCATGTCTTCTCCCAAACGTGGACAAGTTTGTGTAATCTGTGGTCGCTCCGTTTTACATAGAAGACAATTTACTATAACGAACAGAATGTTTAAAAAAAACCCAACCCATTCGGGGAATTTTGGATTTACTCTAGCGCGGCAGAATAACATAAGGGGGCACCCTGGCACCTTGTCAAGTACTCCCATAATTCCTCAGCACCCTATATTGGGTCGAACTAACTAACTAAATTAATTACTTTATTTCATTAATGTTCGTTCGTTATAGTACTTGTACATATTTAACTTAAAAAAACTAAAGACCCCCGGGATGGAATTTGATGAGCTTTGGCACAAATGATCTTGACTATAATACCTTTCAAACAAATGTAGTTTAAGCCGTGGCGGACGTGGGTGCAGCGTCCATACATTTTTGCCCAAGGTCCTTTAGCTTAACTTTTTGGCACATAATCTTTAATAACATTAAATACATCCCATTTATACGTTTGTCATCGCATCGCATTGTCATCGCAAACCTTTATCGGGATGGAAGCACAGTAGTTAAGGTGAACAATGTTCTGTCAAAACCCTTTAAGCCGCAGAAAGGTGTTAGACAGGGATGTATA